ACTACTACTACTACTACTACTACTACTACTACTACTACTACTACTACTACTACTACTACTACTACTACTACTACTACTACTACTACTACTACTACTACTACTACTACTACTACTACTACTACTACTACTACTACTACTACTACTACTACTACTACTACTACTACTACTACTACTACTACTACTACTACTACTACTACTACTACTACTACTACTACTACTACTACTACTACTACTACTACTACTACTACTACTACTACTACTACTACTACTACTACTACTACTACTACTACTACTACTACTACTACTACTACTACTACTACTACTACTACTACTACTACTACTACTACTACTACTACTACTACTACTACTACTACTACTACTACTACTACTACTACTACTACTACTACTACTACTACTACTACTACTACTACTACTACTACTACTACTACTACTACTACTACTACTACTACTACTACTACTACTACTACTACTACTACTACTACTACTACTACTACTACTACTACTACTACTACTACTACTACTACTACTACTACTACTACTACTACTACTACTACTACTACTACTACTACTACTACTACTACTACTACTACTACTACTACTACTACTACTACTACTACTACTACTACTACTACTACTACTACTACTACTACTACTACTACTACTACTACTACTACTACTACTACTACTACTACTACTACTACTACTACTACTACTACTACTACTACTACTACTACTACTACTACTACTACTACTACTACTACTACTACTACTACTACTACTACTACTACTACTACTACTACTACTACTACTACTACTACTACTACTACTACTACTACTACTACTACTACTACTACTACTACTACTACTACTACTACTACTACTACTACTACTACTACTACTACTACTACTACTACTACTACTACTACTACTACTACTACTACTACTACTACTACTACTACTACTACTACTACTACTACTACTACTACTACTACTACTACTACTACTACTACTACTACTACTACTACTACTACTACTACTACTACTACTACTACTACTACTACTACTACTACTACTACTACTACTACTACTACTACTACTACTACTACTACTACTACTACTACTACTACTACTACTACTACTACTACTACTACTACTACTACTACTACTACTACTACTACTACTACTACTACTACTACTACTACTACTACTACTACTACTACTACTACTACTACTACTACTACTACTACTACTACTACTACTACTACTACTACTACTACTACTACTACTACTACTACTACTACTACTACTACTACTACTACTACTACTACTACTACTACTACTACTACTACTACTACTACTACTACTACTACTACTACTACTACTACTACTACTACTACTACTACTACTACTACTACTACTACTACTACTACTACTACTACTACTACTACTACTACTACTACTACTACTACTACTACTACTACTACTACTACTACTACTACTACTACTACTACTACTACTACTACTACTACTACTACTACTACTACTACTACTACTACTACTACTACTACTACTACTACTACTACTACTACTACTACTACTACTACTACTACTACTACTACTACTACTACTACTACTACTACTACTACTACTACTACTACTACTACTACTACTACTACTACTACTACTACTACTACTACTACTACTACTACTACTACTACTACTACTACTACTACTACTACTACTACTACTACTACTACTACTACTACTACTACTACTACTACTACTACTACTACTACTACTACTACTACTACTACTACTACTACTACTACTACTACTACTACTACTACTACTACTACTACTACTACTACTACTACTACTACTACTACTACTACTACTACTACTACTACTACTACTACTACTACTACTACTACTACTACTACTACTACTACTACTACTACTACTACTACTACTACTACTACTACTACTACTACTACTACTACTACTACTACTACTACTACTACTACTACTACTACTACTACTACTACTACTACTACTACTACTACTACTACTACTACTACTACTACTACTACTACTACTACTACTACTACTACTACTACTACTACTACTACTACTACTACTACTACTACTACTACTACTACTACTACTACTACTACTACTACTACTACTACTACTACTACTACTACTACTACTACTACTACTACTACTACTACTACTACTACTACTACTACTACTACTACTACTACTACTACTACTACTACTACTACTACTACTACTACTACTACTACTACTACTACTACTACTACTACTACTACTACTACTACTACTACTACTACTACTACTACTACTACTACTACTACTACTACTACTACTACTACTACTACTACTACTACTACTACTACTACTACTACTACTACTACTACTACTACTACTACTACTACTACTACTACTACTACTACTACTACTACTACTACTACTACTACTACTACTACTACTACTACTACTACTACTACTACTACTACTACTACTACTACTACTACTACTACTACTACTACTACTACTACTACTACTACTACTACTACTACTACTACTACTACTACTACTACTACTACTACTACTACTACTACTACTACTACTACTACTACTACTACTACTACTACTACTACTACTACTACTACTACTACTACTACTACTACTACTACTACTACTACTACTACTACTACTACTACTACTACTACTACTACTACTACTACTACTACTACTACTACTACTACTACTACTACTACTACTACTACTACTACTACTACTACTACTACTACTACTACTACTACTACTACTACTACTACTACTACTACTACTACTACTACTACTACTACTACTACTACTACTACTACTACTACTACTACTACTACTACTACTACTACTACTACTACTACTACTACTACTACTACTACTACTACTACTACTACTACTACTACTACTACTACTACTACTACTACTACTACTACTACTACTACTACTACTACTACTACTACTACTACTACTACTACTACTACTACTACTACTACTACTACTACTACTACTACTACTACTACTACTACTACTACTACTACTACTACTACTACTACTACTACTACTACTACTACTACTACTACTACTACTACTACTACTACTACTACTACTACTACTACTACTACTACTACTACTACTACTACTACTACTACTACTACTACTACTACTACTACTACTACTACTACTACTACTACTACTACTACTACTACTACTACTACTACTACTACTACTACTACTACTACTACTACTACTACTACTACTACTACTACTACTACTACTACTACTACTACTACTACTACTACTACTACTACTACTACTACTACTACTACTACTACTACTACTACTACTACTACTACTACTACTACTACTACTACTACTACTACTACTACTACTACTACTACTACTACTACTACTACTACTATTGACAGCTGCCAGAAATGGCCACGCCGCTCCCCAAAGGGAGGTACTGTCAGAGAGGTTAGGGGAGAGGTAGGCAGTACTTCAAATGGCGCTCCAGGTCCTGTCGCCTCCGCAACTGGCGTTGATTACAGACTCGGCAATGATGTTCAAAGACTGCTGGCGATCAGTCACTGTAGGGCGCTTTGGGCGGGGTCCACAGCGATGGCGCTTGAGGCCAGCAGTAGACTTGAAAGTACGCTGGCAGGCAGTACACACCGGGACCTCGGCAACAGGAGGAGCATCACTAGGCGGTCGATCGTCACAGTTGTCACTCTCTTGGCACTTATGCACTGCAAGCCCACCCCTGCTCCGGAGCCATCTACTGCAGGCAGGACACTTCACCGACCCAGGCTGCTGTGGTACAGGGAGCTGTCAGACTGCTGTGCACTTGTGCCGGGCCATGTCGGCCGCAAACGTGGCACACAATCGTCTTTGGGGCAGGCTCCTTCACCCCCGCTGCTGCCGACACTATGTCACGCCACTCTCCGCGATCGTTGGCCGATTGGAACCAATTTTGCACACCGGCCACAGTCAGATCAGCCTGGACAACGTCCTTCCAGCGATGTCGGGGGCCGCAAAACGGGCGGGTTCGTGGGAGATGAACGAAGAGCAACTGCTTGGGTAACCGATTGTCATCAAGCCGAGCTAGGTGCCCAAGCCACTCCAAGCGTCTTCGCTGTACCATGCACGACAGTGGAGTAGGGTCACCCCACTGTGTGCGTAGTTGCTCCGATGTAATGTGCTGCTCCCACTGGCGGCCGCGCGAAATGCCAAGGATTGACCGTAGGTTGGCGTGATAGAACCTGTCCAGCTTGTCCAAGTCCGACTTCAATGGGGTCCAACATTCCGAGCCATCCAAAACCGTGGTGAGAACACATGCCACATACAAATGCCGTGGAGTAGGCAGGTTCAGGCTCTGATCATGTAAAATCCGCCGAAGACAGCCAAAGGCCCTGGCACCCTTCGCAAGGCGGCTCTGGACATCGGCATGAGCTCGCGAATCCGGAGTTATAACAGATCCAAGATAGGGGAAGGAGGTAACAGCTTCAACCCTTTCATTGCCAACTGCCAGATCGGAACAATCAGTGGCAGCGACTCCATAGCCCGCGACCAGTAGCTTAGTCTTCGTCATGCTGACCGTGAGGCCAAAGCTGGATGCCACATCGCAGAAGGCGGACAGGGACAGGTCGGCTGCAGCACGAGTTGTTGCGAGTAGGACGGGGTCATCGGCAAACTCAAAATCATCAACATGACCAGTCTGAGACTGTCGACGTCGCCCAGCTGCACGGGGAAACAACTGCCCATCAATCAAGAAGCTGAAATCCACACCAGACTCACACACACACACACACACACACACACACACACACACACGCACACACACACACACACTGTGCACATTGTTACACTGCAATCAAGCATAGTCTCTGCCTCTCTGCTATCAGTGAGAGCAGCCAGTCTATTACAAAGGCGGTCATTGGCAGCCGCGCATGCATTGTCGCTGCGCAACAAATATCGCATAAAAATCTAAAATATCAGAAATATTATAGGTATCAGAGATCACATAAAATATAGAAGCATGTTAGAAAGTTCCGATACCGCTCAGCTCATCCTGGATCAACCCGACTGTACTGGGGTATGATGATTATTAGTCAACTTATACACTATGATAAGGTCAAACCTGCTCAAAGAAATATGTGTGTGCGGCGTGCGCACGCACGCAAGCGGGGCCAGGGAGTCGGGAGTATCATGGATGTCGGTTGTCATTGTTGACGTTTTCATGGAGCACACGTGCTTACTAGCACCGGGTGGGAATGCATGGGCTGACGACGCATGCACACCAACACATACGGGCTGCCGGGGCAAGAACAAGCAGCGGCGGAGTTGTAGGGACTGATGCATGATCTAAAGCAGCGGTGCTGAAATGCCTAGGAAGAGACTGCTTTGTGAAGCAGTCAATGTTTTGATGAGCGTTGCAGCGGAGCTCGCATAGCTGACCCTGCGGGAGCCTGGGATCATCAATCGCCTCTGCTAGTCCTGCGAGAACCTGGGATCGTTGATCACCTCCGCTAACCCTGCGAGAGCCTGGGATCATTGATCACCTCCGCTTTGATCCGCGCAAATGCAGGAGAAGCGAGGAATCTGCGATACGAGTCTCGGCTCATGAGATCCATGATCTGTTTGAGGGAATTGTCAAACAGCACTCCATCGGCATCTTCTTCATTGAGTTGATCCTCGATTTCCTTTCTACTCTGGTACTCTAGATTCACCTGAGCATGCGGAAACAACCATGAACAAGACATACGCTTTTTTAACTAGCTGAAAAAGAACGATTTTCCAAAGTGGTACATCAATGGGAATGTCAAAGATATTTGAGCTAGCATAAAGTCTTGCGTAAAGTTTTGCACTTGAACAGAAGCTGATCTCGAATAGAAGCCACGCTTCTGGACACATCAATTCATTCAAATGGCACATAAGCTACCCTGAGATAGTGGCCGTGGCTTCAAAGCGCGACACTACACTCACTCCTAGATCCTACAGGCTACTTTGAAGTACACTACAGCCACTGTCTGGAGTCAAAGTGTTGCCTGTACAAGCCGCACGGGCATGTGAACCCGTGACATACGCAGCGAAGTGAATCGGGGTCAGTCGGGTCAGTTTCACGCGTAGGCTTGTCTTATACATGAGCCTGTGTAAATACCCCAAACAATTCCTATATTAAAGTCGTGGCTGTTATACAAGACTTAACGGTATGTAGAAGAGCACAAGCGTTATGTACAGACCAAGTCTTACTGTATACTTCAACATAATCCTTGCTCTGTGTTTGGTCCGGAGACACCCCCTGACTTAGGTACCATTGCCTTTGGGTTATCCGTCATAATAATAATAATTTGGAAAGGATTGGGAGAACTTCAAATTCAAAGGATCAGTCGGGGAAGTGAGCTGCCTGAAAAGAGAAAAAAACGCCAGACCCACCATAGCTCAGTGGTTAGAGCATTGCTCATGACAAGCAGGGTCCCAGGTTCGAGTCCTGGTGGGTCCGGCGTTTTTTTCTCTTTTCAGGCAGCTCACTTCCCCGACTGATCCTTTGAATAATAATAATAATAATAAGCTGCGTCCCACCCGCCTGTGTGGATTCACAGGAAGTGTGAGTTACGAAGTCTGAAGAAAATGTTGAACAGTCTATGCTGGGATGACGACTTCACCATAGCTCAGTGGTTAGAGCATCGCTAGCTACAAGCGAGGGTCCCTGGTTCGAGTCCTGGTGGTGACAGTCAATTTTTTCTTCAGACTTTTCCCGTTTGTCTCTTTCCCTCAGACTAGTGAAAAAAAGAAAAAAAAAGAATAATAAAGGTTTGCTCCCCACACCGGAGCTCGCGCTGTTCCGCCGACTTCCGGTGTGGGGAGCAAACCTTTCTTACAAATCATCGCCGAAGTCGCAACCACTACTTAATAATAATAATAATAATTAGGACATGTGTCAAAGTATTGAACGTTTTCGTTCCCTTCTTGTCAAAATACTACAGGGAATGATGGAAATAAGCTAAAAGACTACAACTATAAGGAGAAGAAGTTCAGAAATATATCACTCCAATTATGTGTAGAAGTGACACGAAAAAATAGATGTGAAGAAACAAGAAAACAGCATGCAAATCCAATAAGTGACAAAAACGTAGTGACAAGAAAAAGAGAGAAATATCAAGAGATCTATTTCGCACCTTCACGACGAACAGTGCCAAACAACTGCAAAGACAACACATTCTCCTTCTGAACACAAAGCTCAGGGTCTAACTTACGTATGTACAAAGCTTCCAACACGGCAAGATGTAACAAAGACCTACCACGCGACAAAACAGAGAATACATCATCGTCCTCGTCAAGGCCCTTGTCTACCGTGCACATAGGATATGTTCCCCTCATCTGCTGGACGAGGAACTAGAACGACTCTTAACCATAATGACAAAGAATGGCTATCCAAAGACACTTTTAATGAAACTCATCAACCAGAAACCGACCTTGGAAAAGACGATTACTTTTGGACCAGAGAGATGCCCTGTGGTACTACGTTTGCCATGGGTTGGTGCCGGTTCTTCGCGCGTCGAGAAGGATGTGCGGAATATTGTTTGTTCCTCTTATCCGTGTGTCAAATTGTATGTCATCTTTGGGACGACCCGTGCGTTCAGCGTGAAGAAGGACGTTCTACCTACCCTAAGCAAAAGTAATTTAATCTATTTCTTTCAGTGCCGAAATTGTGAAAATCGGTACGTAGGTAGAACCTTTCAGCACCTGGGCGCACGGATTCGTCAACATGAACTGTTGAATCTTGTCCCTGTAGCTGCACGTGGTTCTCGACCTCGGCGTGGTCGTCCACCGAAGTGTCCAGTGCAGTCTGTATCTGAGGTGGACTTGTCCAAGTCCGCTGTGGATACGCTTGCCGACGCCTCCTCCTTTTCGTCGGGCGGAGGGCTGGAGCCAACCCAAACAACAGTCAACAAGAAGAAGAGACCTATACGGAAACCACCGAAACTGACATCTGGACAATCGAGCCCCGGACGAGTCACCAGAAGTCAATTGAGGAGACGAATTGATGACGAATCAAAAGAACCAATACTGGAAGTGACAACAACGGTTAATGTGAAGAAACGAGGTAGACCACGGAAGCAGGACAGACTGGACGTGGAGCAGCACACTGATCTCGACCGAGGCAATCGGAATTGCAGGGACGCAGGGCGTAATGGGAGAGATTCGCAAGCGGCAATATCGGAGGTGACAACGGCCAAGTCGTCGGGTCAGGGAAACGGTACCTCGGCAATCAAGTGTCACCTGTCGGGCAGTGCTAGTTGTCGTGAGTGGTATTCCGATGATGTATTCTCTGTTTTGTCGCGTGGTAGGTCTTTGTTACATCTTGCCGTGTTGGAAGCTTTGTACATACGTAAGTTAGACCCTGAGCTTTGTGTTCAGAAGGAGAATGTGTTGTCTTTGCAGTTGTTTGGCACTGTTCGTCGTGAAGGTGCGAAATAGATCTCTTGATATTTCTCTCTTTTTCTTGTCACTACGTTTTTGTCACTTATTGGATTTGCATGCTGTTTTCTTGATTCTTCACATCTATTTTTTCGTGTCACTTCTACACATAATTGGAGTGATATATTTCTGAACTTCTTCTCCTTATAGTTGTAGTCTTATTTCCATCATTCCCTGTAGTATTTTGACAAGAAGGGAACGAAAACGTTCAATACTTTGACACATGTCCTAATTGGCTGGTGGTGACTCTTGCGTAGATAATACATTTTTTGTAATATTTTCTGCCTCCGTCCTACTTTCAAATAATAATAATATTATTATTATTGTCTTGGTACCCTATTTTTGCTCACCTGGTATATGCCATCATCATGAACAAACTCTTCATAGATGTCCTGTGCAAAATTCTTGCTTGGGCTGTTGGCATACTTCTGCACAGACTTCCAGAACAGGACATTCTCGCCGCTGTGCTCTGAATCGACAAAGTTTGTGAACTCCGCACAGCCACCTTTCAACAAAACCAAGGAAAAAAGAATGAGAAGCAGCAGGATGTATGGTGACACCAGATGAAGCAGGCTGACAGATTGACCAGGGTAACTGACGTTTATCACAATTATGATCAGGTCAGCTGTTGGTCCTATGGCTTGCATAAAGTCCAGTCGCATAGAAGAGCCAGGCTGGGGGTTTTAAGCCCAGTTTATGGCTGAACTGAGGGTCAAAAGTTAAAACCCCACTTTTAAAAGAGAGTTTAGGATCTGTTTCTCTATACATTTCGGCAAGGTAAAGCTGCCTGTTTTTTTGTGGCTAAAACCTGGCCGAATACTGCAAATCAACGAATGTTCGCTGGAGATTTAATTTTGCAGATTTCGCCGCTTGGTGCCAACCGGCCAAAGTAAAACGCAGGCCAAAGTTTGTCATAGAGGCAAATGATGCATGATTGAACCCCAATCAGCCAAAGTTTGATCATGGCCAACAGTTTCATTTCGAGATTGGCCAATGTTTCTCACCGGCCAATTTTTTTTATTTACAGTATCTAACTCCCCAATGGGTCCTTTGACTTTTCCGGCCTCAAATGCGGAAATGAAATTTTCACGGGATACACAATGCAGGACAGAATCGAAAAGAAGTGGGAAAAGAAGACAGGCAACCAAAAATAGACGCTGCTGCTACTATTGCCTATACCCTCCAGGCAAACATACTTCTAGATTCTTTGTTACAAGCTACTAAACATGATCGTCAGTTGTGAGTGAGACACAGCTGACATTCACACGCACTAGGGGTGAAACGATTCGTTCGAATATTCGAGTATTCGTTCGAAAATTTCAAACGAGCGAGTATTCGAAATTTTGCACTCGATCGGTTTTTTTTTTTTTTTTTTTTTTTTTTTTTTTAGTATTGGCGTTCTATTTTTCAAAAACTTTTGTTGTACCGCTCGTCCACTGGTATACATGACATTGTGTAATGCATGCCTTTGAGTCAGTATTTTATGACTTGGACGATGCAATCACCATGGCAAGTAACGTCAGTTAACGTTCTGACATATGAAAGTACTGATGAAAATCGTTACTTTACACTCTGTACAAGACGTTGGCGACTTTTGTTTTATGTTCACAGATAATTTCTTCCCGAATTTGTGGAGAACTCACAAATCTAGCCCTTTTGAATTTTGATAAAATACTCGAAATAATCGGATACTCGATCGAATATTATGAACGAGTGATCGATTGGTCAAAATAGATACTCGTTTCACCCCTAACACGCACACTAACTTGAACACACATCTTACCTTCATCTTCCAGACATTCTGCTAGAGAGAGCTGCCACCGGAGAATTTGCTGTGCTGAATATTTGGATGTAAGCCTAAACGAAAACCCATACGCCCACGTCCACACAAACACGTCTTGCTGAGCCACTGTCACAAGGGTCACATGGCCGGGCCCGCGAGAGGGTGCGGGGGATGGAGAGAGAATTGGAAGATGTTGTCAAGTGGCGTTTCAGGTTCACCCAAAGTGCACACGGCGACGTTTCCCTTTCTCTCTCTCTCTCTCCATCTTGCAGATGGAAAACACTCGGAAACTTGCCAAGTTGCCGCGAGTGGATGCGAAGAGCAAAGGCAAGAGGTGATAGCTTCAATCACCACCCTCAGCCTACCCTCAACCAACGACCACCACACCCTCAGCCCACCCTCAACCAAAGACCATCCAACATTCAGCCCACCCTCCACCAACGACCATCCCACACTCAGCCCACCCTCAATCAACGACCATCCCACACTCAGTCCATCCTCAACCAAAGGCCATCCAACATTCAGCCCACCCTCAGCCCACTCTCAACCAACGACCATCCCACACTCAGCCCACCCTCAGCCCCCGGTGATGCCCTTCATCGACGATGGTCTTCTTGCCCGAAGCTAGGCAAAAGGAACTACCCAAGGCCTAGAAAACTTCGAAACAACCAGAAATTGGGAGTTTGAAAACCTTCAACCGTAACTAGTACAGAGGACACGTGCGCATACACGCACATACACACGCACACACACACACACACACACACACGCACGCACGCGCACACACACACATCTAATTTGTATTCGGAACATGGAGAAGAAGCAAGGACATGCGCATATCGTTTCTAAAGTAGGAATGTGGGAATTGTAAAAGTACATGCTGTGTGGGAGTTACTACTTCCCACATTCACCTTACCTTTTGGACAGCTCCTTCTCGCTTGCAGATGGAGATGTAGGGAGGGATGACGACTGGCCGAGCTGCCGCTCTTTCCGCATATTCACCAGCTTCTTCGGCAGATGCCTGAGTAGAAAAGCACGCCAGATTCACAATGTGGCCTTCAGTAGCTCCCCTCCAAGTGCAGAGCAGCCAGAAACAAACATTCTGCTTCCAAGCAGGACCTGATCGTCAGATATGCTGTCTCAACCTTGGACTGCTAGCCGGTTAACCCAGCTGAAGTGCTTGGAAATCATCACCCAGCCCAGAAAGCACAGCTAATGCTTGAAGTAAGTAAGAAGGCACAGAGCGTCAACTGGCATGGGTGCATTGCCGGGACATACACATGCATGTGGATCATCTAGCTTAGGTAGGGGGATTCGAAATTCAAAATCCCCCAGAAGAAGAAGAACAACAACAAGAACAACAACAAGACAACTTCACAAGGGTCGACGTCATGACCAGTCTCAACCAAGTATTTTCTGCGAAAAATGCACCCTTCTGGTAATAAAATTAATAACATTGTTACTCACGGATACTGTAGACCGAGAGCTCATAGCTACGGTGTAACGGGATGAGCGATGGTTCACTTTTAAGCCCATGTGCTTATACCCGAACGTAGGCACATGCTTAAGCGCGTCACTATGGTGTATTATTATTATTATTATTATTATTATTATTATACTCCGTTCGCCATGTTGGTTGCACGTCACACATCATTATAGTGAAACCCTTGGAGCTACATGTGCGTTGAGTGAGGTGTCAATTTGTCGTGTGACGTGCAGCAAACATGGAAAACAGAGTTGTTGGGCTTGTGCCGCTAAGTCAGTTGTGCGGCGTATGTCCTACACCGAAAGCGCGGGGGATACACACACTGATGAGACTATGGAGTATGGTGAAACAAACTATGATATCAGTAGTCGACGCGCTAATGCACAGCTTTGCGCCTTTTCACTGAGTCCATATACAACATCAACTTTTCATGCCGCATTGTCAACACGGGGAAAGAGTGTGTGCATGAGACAGAACAGAATTCTTACAGAGCTCGCATGAGTCCGCCGAACGACTTGGGACTGGGCTTGCGATCATTGCTTTGTGCACGCTTCAGCTTGTTGCTCCCATCTGTGCAGTGGTTATTCTGAATGGTGACAAGGTCCGGCTCACTGCTAGTTAGGATAGGAGAGATCATGCCCCGCAGCAGACTGAACGTTGAGCTCTGGACGTTCAGGCTGTGATTGGAGCCAGTTGATTTCATCGACAGAGTGCTGAGAGCATGGTCGCTCTTCGTGGCTCTGCGGCCGAGAGGCGACCCGCAAAACGTGCTGTCACAGCTGAGCGGATCTTGCTGAAGTGCAGTGCCGGCTGACCGATTTGGCGTGCTGTTTAACGGGCGATGGAAGGTACTTTCGTTGGCAGGATCGTCGTTCTCCTCATCACTGTCTCCGGTAATCGGTAAGGACACACCCAGAGCACTGTCGACTGACTGATCATCAGTCGGTGTGATGTGTAAACGAGCTACACCACGTGCACTGCTAAGACTCGATGTCCTGGAGAGAAGGCCGTTCGAGCGTGGCCGTGTCTGCATATCCAGATCGTCGTCGGGCTCCTGCCTCTTAAGCTCCTTGTGGCCGCCATCTTCGTCCTCCACAGTACAGTTGCAGTGCGGAACGCCTTTCTGCACTCCTTCTGCGTCTCCCTCCATGAACACCTCTCGGAACACCGCTTTGCTCTCGCTCTCTCTCTCTCTTTCTCTCTCTGTGACTGAGCAAGGTCATGCACCCACACACATGCACGTGCGTGCACACACACACGCACACACACATACACGCACACACACACACATACACACACACACACACACACATACACACAAGGGCATACGTACATGTATGCAAATTACATACAAGTTCAGAGCCAACATCATACCTGCCAAGTATCCAGATTTTTTCGCGATTATCCCGCAATTTTGGACGAATTCCCGCGATCCCGAAATTCCTGTCGATTATCCCGAAATTCACTGTACAAGAAACAAGCTTGATATTGTACCTGTCCTGGAGCACTTCAAATGACCTGTCACAGGCGAGTAGTTGTCCTTATTGATTCCGGACCACCATAGCCTCCAGTACCAGTGGATCTACTACAGTACTAGTGCTCCTTCCATGAACAGTCCCTGTAAAACCTCCGTTTTGAGTCTTGAACATGCGTAAGTGTGATCCGATGATCACCATCAGTCATCTATTTTCGATATGTTGGTGCTATCAAAAGTTTAAGAAAGGATTCTTTTGGAAAAAATAGGACATCCCGAAAAACCAAGGCAAATCGCGGGATTTTGCCATGACGATCCAGAAAAAGCACTCTCAGTACTTGGCAGGTATGCAACATGTTCCATCCAGGCGATGGCAACCCCGAAAGGTGACAGGTATGATCAAGAGTCCATAAACAAGAGTATGCAACTGTGATCTCTTTTCTATGGGCCAGATGCGCGGCGCGCTGCCTTCATTACATCATTCAGCTGCAGTCCGCGCACTGCGAAAAGTCAAACACCGCACTTTTCCTCTGGTTTGAAATGAACTTTCGTACGGAACTGGAGTTCACGCGCCAGAATTTAGAGATTGCGTAGGTACTGGAACGAATCGAGCAAAAACAGATGGGCTCGTACGAGAAATTGTGAGTTTGAATGCATGCTTTCAGAGCGTGATGAAGGTTAGTTACGTAATGAAGGCAGCGCGCCGCGCACTGACCCATAACCACAGTTGCATACTCTTGTTTATGCACTCTTGGTATGATTGGGGAGTCATTGCCGTAAACACGGTAAAGTACCCATGCAGGATAACGCGAGGTCAACGCAGAGCTATCATTGGCACCAGAAAGTTAGTGACAGGCGACAACCGGTATGCGAGGACGAGTAATCGCGTACTCCAGGGGGGGGGGGGGGGGACTCCAGAAATGCAGACAGCCAATGGACTAGTCCACACAGTCCTCTCATGGCCACGGTGTCTTTATTTCTGAGATTCAAATGTGTGAGCTAGCAGTTACTTCAGGAAACCTCTCACTGGTGTCTTCTATTTCCAGGTGTTTTGCCTACACGTATGAAAAGTATAGACACGTGCATGCAACACGAAGACCCAGGCGAGTAGACTGCTAGTACTACAATTGTAGACTACTTTTAGTAATTTCTACTACAAGACTGCTACCAGCACTAATAAATACCTACCTCGTCAGGGATTTGAGTAGGACGTTCAGTTCATGATCAGCCACTCCTCTCAGCGACCACAACCAATCACAGGATTGGACACGAGCATGAGACGTACACCTCTCGCTTCAAGTTCAGGCCATACACAGAATTGGGAAAATTATATGCAGGGGCTTTCCACCAGCTCCTCGACAAACATCCACACAACGTAGATCTACACCGTCACGCCACTGGACCCAGTCACTCGGTGTGGTCAGGCGTTGTTCAAGGCCTGGTGGCAGCCAGGAAGGGAGAAAGAGAGGAAGAAGACAAGCCACCACTCGAACTCGTGGTTCCTTTCACCAAGGACTTGGTGCCAAGTTGGTGGTGTGGTGCAGCTACAGATCAGTAGTCAGGTCGTACCCCTGCCACATGCATGGCGCATGGCCCCCACTCCGCGACTCGATCGAGTACAGTTCAACCTTGCTGGTGAAGTAGCTTGTGTGAAGTTTTGATGGTATGCGTGGACTGGTACGGTGGACTCGGAAAGAAACGCCCAGGATTTTATATGACTCCCTGAGCTGCATGCTACACCTATAAAAAAAATAGCCTCCTCCTCTCCACCTCGTACACCCTTGTCGTTGTACCTCTGCGGCACGTGGTGTGTAGGATGGCCACGCACGACTCCGGTGTACGCGCAGGTAGTCTACTAGTACTACACTACTACGTAGGTGGTGGAATTACTTCCATACGAGCTGCGACTGCGAGGGGTACTTTGTAATCATGTTCCCTTTCCAGATTCCTTTTTCCTGAGTTTCGACAAGTATCCAGTACTACCAGTAGTAGTTGTCCATTATTGTCCATGGCTGTCTGGTCGCAATGAAAGCGTGAAGGACTGTCCGACATGCATTCTCCCCTCTTCTGGATATTGTAGTGTAGCAGCAAGCTTATTGGGCCTTGTTTGTACTTGTCAAAAATAGTAAAAGCTACGAGAAAATTAATATTTGTGAGTACGTAGTACGTACCGTATTTCCGGTTCCCCGATCGATTATTTTTATTATTATTTTTTTTTACCGAGAGAAAATGAGCTGAAATGGCTGTGAAAACAGTCTTATACGGAGGAAGCTACAATGGCTGTGAAAACAGTCCAATAAGGAGGAAGCTAAAATGGCTGTGAAGACAGTCTAATGCGTAGCAAGGCGAGCCTCAGCCTGGACGAGGTCGACAGGCACAAGGTTGATGTGACGGCGGCGAACGGAGCGTGATCCTCGAACGCACCGGATCGCAGACCTAGCAAGAGAGAAAGCCAAGCAGCAGCGCATCCAGCAAACGACTTTGCTGTAGCTCTCCTTGCGCTTAGAAGCCAGAGCATCAGCAATCCGCTTGACGACGATGGCTGCCTCTGGACCCATTCCGCCGCAAGAGGAGAAGACCAGTGGTGTGAACGAGCCATGTTCAACTTGGTTAACTCTTTCGCCATACTCCCGCTTCTTGGCACCTTCCAACTTGCGATAAATAGATGCAATGGGCTGGGACCGATAGCTCGCTGCGTGGGGATAGAACACCCTCGTATCGAAAAATGCATTGCGGCTATGGTTCCAAAAGCCCCGCACCCGGATGTCCGCTCGCGCATCGGGCTCAACATTGGCAGTACGATAGCGAAAGGCTTCACCGGTGATGGGTTGGAGTGTCGGCTCAACTTCCACATCGTTGTGGATCTCTTTCATGCATGAGGCTAGGAAATTGGTGACCTCATCATGGCGCATGTGAATGAAGCCCGACAGCTTACATATCTGGGCATGGTCCACAGTGAACCGCTCTCCACAGGGACAGGTATCCGGCAGCCTATCCAAGGGCCAGCCATAGCGCAGGTGGACATGATCATGGAAATCAGCTTCGATTATAGGTCGCACCTTTTTACACTAAAAGTCAAGGGTGAAAAAGGAGGTGCGAGCATGACCGGTCAGGGAGTCGACTCCCTGAGCATGACTTACCACTGAAGTCAATAATTATCATTTAACATACGTCAATGAAGCAGTGCTTCACTGAAAACCTTGAAGTCTCACATATCTGGACCAAAACTGAGCCGAAATGGGTCGAATTTTCGGTAGTGTTGCTTGTCATGGCAGCCGAAACGGGTCGAGTTCACAACATAACAGCCCAAACGGGTCGAGTTACAACATCTTGCCATTCTTGGTTGCATTTGGGGATAGTACGACTCACTACGAGTAGATCTACGTGGTAGATTATAATAATAGGGAGGTTCCGGAGTACGATTTTTCGTGACAAAATCCGTGGAGGCTCTACGGATTTTTTATACGTCGTTTTCGAGCAGTGAAAAGTTCCGGGGTACGGAACTTATGTGTTTGCCGTCATTGCCTAGGTTACGATCGCAAACACGTCACATTCCCGCGCTATGCCTTTTTATTTTGAACATTTGTACCGAAATCAAAACTTCCCGCGAAAAATCGATGTTTCTCGTGCCAAATTTGTACGCGAAAAATCTTTCTGCACCCGATGACGCAAAATCTCCATACGAAGCATGGTTCGTATGAAAGCCAGTCCACACGGATTCTCGTGCCGAAAAATCGTATGGAGCACGCCTGGAAAAAATCCGTAGCGCCCATACGGATTTTGGCACGGAAAATCGTACCCCGGAACCTCTCTAATATTTATGTACGATTTCGCGCTAGGCATACGTACGTGTAGGCACATATTTGGCAATGCATTTCCAGTTGAAGCATGGCGTGAGTCTGGCAAGCCAAGCTTGTCAAACGACAAAACAAAAAAGACTGGTCTGTAGGAGACAGCGTGCAAGGAGGTGAAGCTATCGGTCATCACACTGATGGATTCTGGTTCTTCGACCGCGCAGCACCCTAGTAATAGTACCGGTAGGTCTACCGGCCGGATGCGCGTATCGCACGGTCTGTGGCGTGCACGCCTACAGTAGCGCTAGCGCCTGAGCTGAGGTGCATGACTGCATGCATGCTATGCTGTGCAAGGTAGACCTACGCGGTCGGTGTGCATGTGGTGCCGATGTGGTTGAGTCAGTTGGCTAGAAAGACAGAGTGCAAGGCTGCAAAACAGTCAGGTGGTAGACCGATTGATCCCCAGATCGTCTTTGTACACTGCTCTTCATCAATCAACCATACGTGGCTGCATATCTGTGCATCGTTGATCCAAACTTGGCTTTTGACTTGATTTGGAATGTTTCGTCTGTTTGCGCCCGACCTAAAGAGCAGGGACCAGCAGGGACATCGAAAGTCAGCAGTCTTGTTGAGGTCGGCCGGTTCCCAAACGTAGCGTGCCTCTGTCCGGGCCAGAACGGGATCCGGGAGCCAACCAGTTTTCGTTCTGAGGGGTTTTGCTGTTGGATATGCTTGTCAAGCAGAATGGAGGATCTGCAGATAGACGAGAATTTTGTGGTGAGCTCCGTTCTTAACATTGCTATAAGCCGTGAAAAATCTTTTCAGCATTCACTCTCGATGTTCCTTATCTTTTGGGACGCTTTTGAGCAATTACACCAAGGAAGAAGACGATCAAGAACTTTGGCATGTCCCCTATTTGTTTCAATTTTGCAGAAGAACGAATTTCATGAAACTGTTATTATTATTTTGGTCTTGTCGGGGAGGGGGGGGGGGGGGGGGGGGGCTCCTTACATTTGTCATTATCTGATTTTCACGTTGAAGGGCTGTGGGCAGCTTTCTCATGCATGTACATGTACAATGCACATGTCAACAGTTGAAACTGCTAGTTGTGATGAAGTGGGCCCACACAGGCTAAAGTGTCAATTTTTCAAATTTATTTTTCATTTGCTATCAGTAAGGGCCTGGTCAGACTGCGACAAAGTTTGGTTGCCTGACGAAAAAAGAACAGCGTCCAGAATTAGAATCGCGATCACACTACACATGTGGGGAGAATGAAGATTCAAACTTCATTTCGAGCGTCAAGTGGTAATCTCCACGAACGACGTCAAATTCCTTCACCTTGTGGATCGCCAACACCTTCAGTGCAATCCTTGCAACCATCCTTATGAGTTTTGTTGTTGTCCGTGGCCAATTAGCTCCTCGATATCGAGATAAACAAATCAGTGATTATCAGCGTCAATGGCGTATCAGCGTCAAATCCTGTTTGGAGCGGAAAAGCATGGTCCGTTCTTGCTTTTTTTTTGGAGCGTCAACTCTCGCTTTTGCCGCTCTGGCGGCAAGTTACTGTGGAGATTCGGATTATAATCCTAGGATTATTTCGATTTTGCCGCAGTCTGATCAGGCCCTAAGTATACACAGTCATCGTGGGTACAGTCCATAGTCCTTATGCACATTGTACAGATGTACGGAGTTCTGTACTATGGCCGTAGGTGTGTACATACCCGGTTGGGTGTTCATTGTGTGCTATACATGCGCGTTTGACCCATTTAGCCTTTACAATTCATGGCAAACGATCACTTTTCAAGCCTTCTTCACTTTGGGATTGAACTAACGACTAGCTAGATCTCTGCCGGAAAAAGATTTCGTATGAAATGCCTTCATGGCCCATTTCATAGTGGAAATAGCAGTAAACACAATAGGGTCCTGCACATTCAACACCCAACCGGGTCTACGGGATTCTACAAGATTATACGGGATTTCGTGCATCTGTACAATGTGCATAAGGCCTATTCAGAAAAAGATGATATCCTAGCTTTTGGCCATAAACGGGTCAAATTTTGAGTTTTGTCCCAATTTGTTTGGCAATCCCCCATGGAATACTCTTCCAATTGTGTTTTTGAAATCCATTTCTCCAAAGAGCAAGCCATAACAAGAATAGGATTTCGGCCAGGTTTTGCCCCCAAAGCACTGAATTGGGGAAAAACCATGAAAATCCAGGCCGTTCACTCCACTTGCATAACAGTACATTTGCGCTTCAAACCCCAGTTGAGGTACCTTTTTGGACCCTTTTCAAGTTTCGAATCTCGCGGCACTGCACAGGGTACCACAAAATCGCCAAATACGGGAGCTCTCCAGAGCCAGCGCTCATCTTTTTCTGAATGGACTGTAGTAACAGACGCCTAGGCTCAAGATCAAAGACAAACGCGATACGCACTACAGTTGGAACCAGGATACAGTGATAGCACTGGAAAGACGACGTTAGATCCCAACACCCAAAATAATGTGAGTGCGACCCTACATCTGAATATCCTGCACAATCTGTCACCTATAGTCCATTCATTGGAAACTGGCACCCTAACTTTTTGGTGTCTCTCACATAGTTTTGGATATCGTGAAAACAACAGTACATCCTGCATTGTGTGACCCGTGCAATTACTCCTTGCCACATTTGAAGCCAGAAAGGTCCAAGAACAGGGAAATAGAAATTCAGCCAGGTTTTACAAAATTAGGACAGGTATGCCATGGCAAAATGTATGGAGAAGCAGATCCCAAACCCAGATTTTTGAGATTTAAAGTGGGTTTTTGATCCTCAATTCGGCCCAAATCCAATTTTCAAAAGCCAGCGGTCCAGTTTCCGATGAATGGACTGTAGGTAAGATGCAGCCCCGATCGTGGCCATCAAGAGTACATGAAAACCAGAGTGCGCAGCTTGGGGCCTTTTCTACTATGGGCGTCTGTCACGGCGGAATTCCATGATTACATCATATTTGGCACAGATCTGAGGCGGGAAATGGCGTAGTGCGTACAACTGCGCTGCAGTTGTGCAGAAAGAGACCTGCTTGAATCCTGCTTGTACGCGCTACATCACTAAAATGATGCAATCACGGAATTCAGCCGTGACAGCAACCCATCCGAGCTGCACACTCTGGTTTTCATGCACTCTTGTGGCCATGAATACCAACACCAATTTTGAGGAGGCTTCAATTCGGGAGGGGCCTTTTATTCTTTTCAATGCATACCGGTATTCCCATCAAATCCCGAAAATTCTTATGTTCAAAGTAGTGGTGTGCACGGGTAGTCGGGTACTCGTGCTACCCGTGAGGACTTCGGGTAGACGGGTACAGAATAGTACCCGAAAACCCGAAGTCGCAGACGACATGTACAGTGTACGTGTACAAAGTCATGTAATACACCGCATGTCTACCCAGTGTGTAAGGAAAGGTGTGCATTGTGGCGTTACCCTGGAAGCATTACCCGATCGGGTACCCGTGCTACCCGAACCCGCTGCCCGAAGAAAATGCTACCCGACTCAGCCCTAGTTCAAAGCAACTCGGCCTCGAGTTAGTTCACATGCACTGCGTCGATCTGGATATGTACCGTTAGTATGTAAATGCATGTACACATACGTGATGTTTTGTACGTACTTCAGCTTACCGAACGTGGCACTGCTTGGGCACCCCATGCTTTTCGAATAGTAGTCCTTGCTTCCATTCAAGAGAGGCTTGTTTTAGTTCCAACGGTCGTTGCATGGGTGCTATCAAGAGTACATAACCAAGAGTGTGCAGCTCCTATCTCGAGCTGTGATGGGTTCACCCGCGGCGGCAGAAGTATGATGAAGTGCATATGCTTCCTCACCCTTGTTTTGTATATAAGATGTGAGTTCAGCAGGTTCAGGACACATCAATCTACCATCCTTTGTTCTGCTTCGACTACCGTAGCTGCGATAGACAAATTCTTTGTACTTTGATCGCTGGCTACTGCTAGTAGCCAGTGGCTACGCACGATGTCAAAATAGCTGCGAAAGACTGATGTCTTAAAACAAATTCCACCAGTGGCTGCGGGATCGTTGAGTTGCACACTCTTGGCTATGTACTCTTGATTTTATTCAAGAGGGGCTTTATTCCCGAGGGAATTCTAATGGAGTGAGCACGATAACCAAAAGAAAAATGAATGGGCGTGCCCAGGTATAGGTCCTTGCCAGGAAACTCTACGAGTACAGCAAATTTCCGATTTAGCCCAAATTTGAATAGCAGCGTGTTTTCCTGCACATTTAAAGAGGTAAAGTGACCTTGTTTCATTGACCGGCCTCTTGTTATCTTTGAGCTCAAGTGGTATGCGCAAGTGGTGTTGGAAACCAGAGTGACCCTCCTTATGTATAATACCGGTGAGAGTAGATAAGCTCCCAAGGCGGCAAGAGTGTGCGACTCCGGATTCCATTACTATTGGGTCCGGCGACAGCGAACACTCACATTGTGTGGTGTTCACGTTTGCTTATGCGAGTCGTCAGCATGATCATTGCAGATAGGACAGCTGCACACTCAGGGGTGGGGGGGGGGGGGGGGGATGAGTTAATGTACTCTTGCTAGTAGCTAGAGTGCATAGATCACAATAGTGTGTAAGCAGGGAGTCGTAAAATACCGGTATTTTACGACTCCCTGTGTGTAACTGCCTGTATAACCTGTATCCAGTGCTGTGAGGGAAGAGTTTCACGTCACGTGACATGGTTCAATGAGTTACACTGGCAAACAGTGCAGCATGACCACCAGAGAGTTGTACGCAAACCAGGGCTAGCGCTATGTGCAACCCTGTAGCTGTTATACGCAGGGTGCACAATCATCATATTTGCACCCAGGTTTGTCGTTTGACTATTGGCCATGCTTTCCCACCAAGTCCTGCTTGCTTGTCTGGCTGGGTTGTTGGCAACTTGCAGGCTCAGCAGAATGCTCTTCTTTCTGAGTATTCAGACATCCTGAAGAACTGCCAGGTGGCCGCCAAGCATCTCGAGCATCACATTAGAGATTGGTAGGTTGGGAGGATATGAGGATGTCAGGACAGGGCATTTCCACAAACTGCACACCTTGACCGTATCTGGAAAGGTGCTGTCTATTCAGTAGTTCCACCCTCAACCCCTCTCTCTCTCTCTCTCTCTCTCTCTCTCTCTCTCTCTCTCTCTCTCTCTCTCTCTCTCTCTCTCTCTCTCTCTCTCTCTCTCTCTCTCTCTCTCTCTCTCTCTCTCCCCCCCCCCCCCCCCCTCTCTCCCCCTTCCTCCCTTGCTCTCTTGCTTTCGCCCGCCCCTATACTTTAAAGCATATGATCATAATCAATAATTATTGGGAGACAGCCAATGCCGAGTTGATTGTTGTAGGTTAGTGGGAGATCATCACCCTGGCAAGGCTGCTATAATACAAGAGGAAGCCAGCTGCTAGGATTTTAGCGACGCTTTTGTTGTTTTATGTTGCAAGTTGCGATGCCATTTAACATTCAGCCCAGTCAGCATTGCTGATTGTCTTTGTCAGCAAGCACTCCCTTGATGTCTTGCATTTATTGCTAACGTTCATAGTGTAGCTGAAAAGTTGAGCCGCCCGTGTGGACATCCTTGTGTTTCTTCTTACCCGCAGTGCTCGCCTGGAGGAAGCCCACAGCAGAGAACAACAGAAGATCGTTCGTCCTCTCAAGTCCACCAGTGGGTGGGTACTTTTTAAAATAAGACTTGAATCCATTCCTCTGGGGTAGCCTGCCATGTTCGCTATTTTTGTAGGAGCGTACTTATATTCTTGGTGTAAACTGAGTATTAAAAAATATAAAAAAAGCGTATTCTTTCCTGCAAACTGTGGTTGTAACAGCTGGTGGCCAACCAAACATCTTACTTTTTAATCTTTGGCACAACGGAATTTCGTATGCAGCACTGTACTAATTTTTCTTGCATCACGTATGTACGAAGTAGCGGTGAGGCATCCGGCAGCTTCATAACTCGAAGAGAATTGGCGAGCACACATGCTCATTCCCTGAGCACTGCAAATTCACAACTCATTTCATTTCACAGAATCATTTTCAACGTTTCGGCAAATTGCCATCATCAGGATACAATATGAAGTGGAAGTCTGCCAAGGAGCAGTTATATACACCAATTTGGTGTTCTTAGGTGTTGATAATATTTCTATGACTACATATGTTACCTCAGTGCTAGAAATATGACATGTCTAAAACTAGTGAAAGATCACAAGTTTTCACTGACTCATATGCTGGGTGTTGGTAATAAGTTAGCACAGCGCAGATGTCACCAGATAACTTGAGAAATGTCTGAACAGGTTTCTCGCAAGCAATTCACGTATGTGTCCATGGTTTCACCCAGTGAAGCTGCAGTTGTGGAATAATTCTGCTACTGTGATATTCATTTGGCCCTGCACTGTTCAGGTTGTGTTAACTTTCACCTGTGTGAGTTTGTGGGTGCGCGCTTATCACATCAGCTTGTCGTGTACAGAGTAGCAATATCCATTTCAATTCTGTCATTCGATAACTGATTATCATACAAGGCTTGTTTCTTTCCAGAAGACGACGGGAACTCATCAGATTCTGATGAGTACCCGTCGTCTTCTGGAAAGAAACAAGCCTTGTCAGGAGCAATCTTCTGTCATGAAGTGTTGCTGGGGAACTGGTTGACCTTGTTGGACCTGAACAGGCACATTCACTGTTTCTTGTGGAGTGCTGGTGATCCAAGAACAAAACCTGATATGGATCCGTTGGTGTAGCGTGCGTCCGGCCATCCGGGGCATGTACCCATAGCCATGGGTACATGATTGTGCGTATGGATGGGTGTGTAGTGGTTCAGGTTAGTACTACCAGTAGTAGTAGTTTTATTATTTTACTAGGGGAGTCCCAACAGGCTACTGCCTTTTTACTGTGAACCCTAGAGTGTGCTTGGGAATCTGTGATATCTATGCGTGCACCAATGTGCAGGTATACTCGTGCATCATAATACCCTCTGTGTGTGTGTGTGTGTGTTTGTGTATGGCATGTGTTTTGTACGTTGTCTTCCCATGTGCAGGTATGCGACTGAGCTGTTTGACGCATACGTAACATGCAACAGTGATCTTGGGTTCAGAACGGCTAGCCTGTATAACAAACTTCTCGACATTGCTTCTGGTATTGGAGAGTACTCGAGCAAGCTGAAGGATGTCTTGAAACCCGTAAGCTGCCTTGCCTTGGTTGAGTCCTAAATATACTTGCACATGTACTAAGTACGAAGTACTGAATATACCTCCTCAGTTCAAGAACTGAAGTGTGTCATCCTTCTATACTTCTTCGACAGGGTCATTGTTTACTGCCTTTCTCTTTCAAGCCGTGTGGTACAACTTATGCCTGATGAGATGTACCATTACTGTCATGAGATGGAAAAGGTGGACCCAAAATCCCAAGAGATACTCAGATTTCTCTTGAGTCTTGACCCAGTGAAGCGAACAAGGGAGAGCAAACATTGTTTTACCTCACTGTTACGGGTGTACAACTTACGGACCCGAGTGCAACTCGGCTCCATTGTGCCGTGGAGTGCCGCTGAAACCCAATAGTGCGGTGTCGCTTCTCAGTTGGTTTCGCAGCAGGGGGTGGGAATCAGATCTAGGCTGTAAGGTGGAAACCTAGATTAACTGTACTGCTACACATGTATTGATATTCTCTAGCTGATTTTCTTGTTCTTTGGCCACCTGCAGGTTAAGGATGAGATAATCCCTTCTGCTAGTGAATCCCTAGCTGTTGTCGACTCAGAAATGGGTCATGTTGAGAAGGTAGGCACAGACTTTATAGGCTATTCTAAACTACGTTCCAATACTCGTCACGTTCAGGAATTCCACGTACTGGCAGACGTCGTTTTCATGCAAGTGCATTGACACAGGCACATACATGCTGCTCGTACAGCTGTGCGTACAGCTTCTTTTGGACACAAACTGCCAGGAACGACAGAACGAATCTCGGTACGACTCGTACAGGGGTCTGGATATGTCGTCTACGTTTTCGTATCAGGCGTACGATTTTCTCGCCACGTTCCATGTTGTCTTGGCTATTCGGACGAAAACGTCGCATATGCCACGTTTTGGGCGTAGCGTGAATGGCCCATTCCGTTCAATGTCAAGCTCTTGGCTGCTATGTGCTCATTGAAAAAAGAGGCAGGTATAAGAAGCTGTTGTCAGACTTGGCATTGTTCACTGCACAGCTGTCAGCAGTCAGTTGTGTTACACAAGGCAATGTCATGGGGAAGGTAGCATCATTACGACTCCGGTAAAAGCATGTTGCACTGTCCATGCTCGTGGTACACCGCTCACCAGTGCTTACCAAAGAACCACTCCCACTTTTTTTGCGAGTGAATAGTGATGTGACTAAAGAATCTCTGTATTCCTGTCTCTTGCCTCATCTCTCCATGATTACTCCTCTCCTTATTTCTTTCCCAACAACACGGTATTGCGTGCGTGTGCACTCCTGTTCAGGTTCGGGCAAGTCTGGCGGAGGCTGACCAACAGCATCAGCGTGCCACTGAGGCTTTGCACCGGTGCCGAGAAAAGGACAAGTCAGACAAGGTTTGTGATCTTCTGCTGCTGCTGCTGCTGGCATATCACTTTACAATGTATAGATGTTATGCCAGCTATGTCATGGTGGTGAGTCAGTGGAACTGCTTATGGGTGCTATGTATACAGCATGAGTCGGCGGAACCGCTTATGTACAGTCAACTTTGCGTATAACGACACTCGGCGGGGCATAAGAAAAGTGTCCTTATACCCGAAGTGTCTTTATACCCGAAGTCTCATTATGTGTATACAGGTTAGATGGGACTTTGCTCTGGGCATGGAAATTCTGTCGTTATTCGCGAATTGTCGTTATATCCTCAGTCGTTATTCGCGAATTGTCCTTATATCCTCAGTCGTTATATCCTCAGTCGTTATTAGCGAAGTTGACTGTATACAGCATGGGTCGGCAGTTTCCATTGAGAATCTCACGTCTGTTGCTTTCAAAAGTCTAAATGGTACTATGACAATGTGCAGCACTCCGAGACTCTTTCAGCAAGGGTTGCTCTGTGCAAAAGTGCGACTGACTCCTGGTTGATGGTCTGATTCCATTGCCCCTCGTCATCTCCGCTATCGCCCTGCTCACGATCATTCCATACCAGTAGAACATTGTACTGTATCTGTACGTTGATGTATTGTCTCTCCTTTTTTTTCTCTTGTCTCGGTGTTGTTTCAATTCTCAGTATGAAGCTAAGCTGAAGAAGGCGCTGGTCGCCCTAGAAGCTAACAGTAAGCCATAGTCTACATGAGAGTGTCTGCCTGGTAGCAAGGGGTAGGGCGGAAAGCTCGGCCCAGGCTGCGGACTAGCTGCTAGCCGTCCATGGTTTACCCTATCTGTGACTTGTATGGCATCTTTGACTGCCGTAGTTTGGGCTTTTTTTTGTCAACAGTGGATTAATGTTGGTTGGTGCCCTCAGCCTTGTGTGATTCCTTGTTGAACTTTTTCTGCTCTCTCTCTTTTGCCTGCACAGATGCAGACCTGGCTCGTTCCAGCGCAAAGTACTGGGATGCGTATAATGTGTACATGGAGCGACACACCTATCTTGCAGTGGTGAGCGCTACCGATGTGTGTGTGTGTGTCTGTCTGTCTGTGTGCGTGCGTGCGTGTGTGGAACAGCATGCCCATCTCATCATGCTGAGACATGATAATGTGTTATGGCAGTAAAAACGGCCTGCACTGTGGTGGGCTGATTTCTTTTCTTCTACATGTACATAGAGGCTATAGGTGCACTTGGTCAGTTTTCTGATGAATGTATTACCGTACTTCCCCACATATAAGCGCATGCGCTTATAAGCGAAAATTTGCTGCAAAAAGATCTTTGGCTGTGTACACATGTTCGGGTAGAAGCCCTTGCGCTTATATGCGCAATACAGGTTTGTCTGTGTCCTAAACAATGGTGTCATCACACTACTTAGTGGTATATTTCGCTCCCGCCTTTTCACCAATAGTGTTCACATATAAGCACATGCGCTTATAATTGAGGGGTGCGCTTATATCCGGACATGCGCTTATATGTGCGGAAGTACGGTATGAGCGTTAGCATGCTAACACAGGTTAGCAGCCAGCCCAGCAAGCTGGCCCGACTGGCACGAGTGCGTGAGTCATGCGGGCACACGCCCTTCAATGTCCTGTGCAGTGTCTCTTGCATTGTCATTGCACTCTTAGTTATGTATTCTTGGTAACAGGAGTAGAAGATGACATCAGGCAATGACCTCTGCGGCGAGAGGCAAAGAGAAGCAAGGCCGAGAGAAATATGTTGTGTCAATGCAGCGCGTCATGTGCTGCGAGGGAATAGTTACATTGGACTATGCCCATGCTGTAGCAGCTGTGTTGTTGGATTCCGTTTAATCCACACTTGCGTTTGTATGTGTCTGTGACCCTTGCATGCAGAAAGTCACCGAGATCGAGGCATACGCAGCTGAGAATCTAACAATGTTCATCTCAACGTACTGCAACATCCGCTGTTCCATCTACCATGAACAGGCAGCTGTAAGTGGAATGTCAGCAGTGTTCACAGACTTTTATCTCTTCTTTCATCACCAATTCCGCTCAGTATGGCCCATGGCGGGATTTTCTGTTGCATCATTTTTCCTACTACAAAGGAACCTTACTTTTTTTCACATCCAACCTCGATTGTCACCAACCGTTTGCTCTTAAATTGGGAGCCACCGTCTACTCCCGAAACGAACAGTAAGCTTTCGAAGACAACCACCTGCTAAAGCGCACTGCATGCATGCAGGCGTAAAATGCAGATTGTGTTGAAATTAGGGCTGAAACGACCGTGGATTTTCACGTATCAATTACTCTTTAGCTTAACGATCAAGCAATCGATTATAATCGTTAGCAAATAGTCATAATTCTGTGCAAACAATACTCTGTTTCCACAAACTAGGCCTTCATGATACCAACAAATCTGCATTAGTGAAAGGATAGCTCCGAAACATGGCAGTTTTGAAGTCAATTTAACCTCAGAACATGAAACATACCCCTGGCAACTGTATACTCCCAGCGGAAACTGATTCAAACTTCACAAAACGAGGGTTTACAGTACTTTCTGGACACAAATTTAAAAAACGCAAAATAATTGTAATCGGTAATCTAAACGATTGCTCAATCGTTAGAGTTATCAAAAGAGTACTCGATTATTCGGTATAATCGTTTCAGCCCTAGTTGAAATAATTGTATATGCATCATGGCTGCTGAAAACCTGTCGTCAACAGAATACCCCGCCCGTGGCTCAGACTAGGAGCTGAGTTGTACACTCTTGTTTATGTGCTCTTGTCGATGTGCACCTCTGTCCAGTGCCACAGATTGCTATCAATTTGTAAATCGTATTGCGCAGCCAGTTTGGCATGTGCTCAGTCACAAATAATCACGGCTTTGTGTGCATCAACTACTCTCCCATTGCTACAATCTTTGTGAGAACTTCGTTCTGTGAGCTGTGGTTCTGTGTCAAACTTTGAAAGACGTCTCTGACCGCATGGGTGTTGGTGCGCTTTATGCTTTCTACAGTTTCACTTCACCTGTGATGAGCGTGTGCAGACCATCACGGCCAATGCGATGGAGCGGGCGAGGCGCTATTGTAGAACACAACCTGGTGAGTGTCTGCGTTTAAGGTTTATTTATATTACTGATATGGCATGTATTGTTTGCCCTGCTTACAGCGTTCTTGTTCTGTGCTGCTGTTGCCGTTACTGTTGCGCTAGTATCCCCGTCTTGTCCAATCCACACTATTCACATGGTTTTATCCAGCACACACACACACACCCACCCCCGTGTTTAGCGTTGGAAATTGACTGACGAAACGTGTTATCCGTGTTTTCAGTAATGTTGGTGATGCCGGTTAAGAAAGATTTTCATTCTACTACAGGTGGAATCCTGATAATTCGAACCTCAAAATGCCAGGAAAAACTTCTGATTACCTGGACATTCTAATTATCCAAACATGAACCCAGAACACAATATGTATGTCAAAATGCTCTCGTGGTCACGCAGAGTTGCGCTATGGACCTTAGATACAGATTTCACGGATGCTGAACTGACCGGCACAGCCTGCTCATGCAAACTGAACTGACCAGCACAATGTACAGTGAACTTCGAATTACACGTTGCTAACTTCGAATTATCAGCACAAATCCTACACATTTTCTATGTAAGTGGAATCTGTGGAACTTCTAATTAACCGGACATATCCAGTTCGAGGTTCGAATTATCAGAATTTTTTATGTGGGAATCGTATTGATAGAATTCGGTCCTGGAAAAACTTCTAATTAAGCGGTATGTTCGAATTAAGCCATATTCGAATTATCAGTATTCCACCTGTATTGTCATCACTTAACACCGGCGCCTGTCTATGCCTGTATCTGCAGACAATTTTGCTGAATCCCAAGAATCGGAAGATGCTGTGTCGACAACCATTGCCACGAATGAGATCAGCCCTTCTGCAAGTTTAGGCGCGGCCACCGTTGCGACTAGCGCTTCCGACTGTGACCGCCACTACATGGTCGACTCGGCACCTTCCGATGCCGACCTGTCACTGACGAAAACAAGCGTTGTCGGTACGTCCTCACCGCGTCCATGCCATGCTGCATGCACTGTTTTGTTCATTCACTGGGCTCTTTTCACATGTGTCTTGTGCCTCAGTGAGGCATTTTCACATTAAATTTTATGATTATGCTTTTATATGGCATGTAAGTGTATGCGTGTATACTAGTATGTGTATCAATCTGCAGTAGTGGCGACTTGGATCAATGTCGTCTTTCTTTTGTGAAAGAGAAAGAACAGGCGACTACCAGTTATGAGTAACAATCTACCAGTTGAGAAGCAGGTAGTGAACAGTCAGAACATGCAACAACTGTGTACAAAGTAACCGGCAGTACCAAAAGTATAATACTCTTGGCAGTACTGTAACACTCAGTGGCCTGGCACAGTACCTACCTTAAACAAGTCTTCAAAGTGTGGACCAAAGGCCTTCTTCCTACCTGGAATGCTGAAGATTGGGGGTAAAATCTCACGGGTAGATTCAGCAAAGACGAATACACGTAACATCTCACACAGCAGCGAAGATTTAGTCGACGCTGATTTAGCAGAGATACTTTTATGGGAAGCTTTTCAAGAAGGAAATTGCACAAAACTCGGATGACAAGATGAATGACTATAGTGTACTTGGCTTCAATAATACTTCAATACCTGGTTTCACACAACACCTATATAGTTAGGGGCCGTCCGTAAATGTCGATAGTTTTTACAATCCGTGTAATTTTCGTACCTGGGTGGTGGGTGCAGCCGAAATTCAAAGTAAATAAAATATCGATGACACGCGGACCTGGCGCCCAGTACTGTGTGTGCGTGGGTCTGCGTGCGTCGAACCACACGTACACGTAGATTGTTGTCTCCAAAAAATGTAGTGGAGATCGAAACTCTTGAAGCAAAAGAAAGAGGGAAGTTTGTCAGATATTATTCACAAGTATAATTATTGCACAATTATTCGAAGTATCACAATACCTGATTAAAGGGGAAGTTGAGGCAAAAATTAAAATTTCACCAGTTGTAGTCTTCGGGGTGCTGAGTCGAATGGTCTTGGTCCGAGAAAGCTGAGACGCTCCCTTCCTACTTGAATCCCAATCGAACTCGCGCACTTCCACCGAAACTGGGTGACTGCGCCCTACTAGATGGGGATTTGTATGCAAAATGTCACTAAAAGCGCCGTTTCGTTCTTATAAAAGCACTGATGACCGCGATTGGCCCATATGTTGTACTCTTTTGGACGCTGAGTCGACTGGTTATGGTCCGAAAAGGCTGCGACGCAGCGTACCTCCTTTATTCCCAATCGAACAGGGTTGAACAAGTGGTCACGTGCTCCTGGGTGCCCAAATCACCTGGTCACCACGCCAGCAGGCGACAACTTTCACACCAAGGTTCAACTCGAGGTCAACTCGAGTGACAGGAGTGCACCCGAAAAAGGTAAACAAGGTAATAAGTTGTACCCTGCAGGCACGGTGACCAGGTGACTGGTGTACGCAGGAGCACGTGACCGCTTGTTCAACCATGTTCGATTGGGAATAAAGGAGGAACGCTGAATCGCAGCCTTTTCGGACCAAAACCAATCGACTCAGCGTCCAAAAGACTACAACATATGGGCCAATCGCGGCCATCCGTGCTTTTATAAGAACGAAATGGCGCTTTTAGTGACATTTTGCATACAAATCCCCATCTAGTAGGGCGCAGTCACCCAGTTTCGGTGGAAGTGCACGAGTTCGATTGGGATTCAAGTAGGAAGGGAGCGTCTCAGCTTCCTCGGACCACGACCATTCGACTCAGCACCCCGAAGACTACAACTGGTGAAATTTTAATTTTTGCCTTAACTTCCCCTTTAATCCGGGTCAAGTCCAGCTCTTATTTGAACTCCACATCGAAGAATTGCTACATCGCCAATGGTTGGAACAGTTCCCATGTGGAGCGTGGCCTAACGAAAATGGCACGGCAGACTACTTTGTTTGGTACAGCTGCCTAACAAAAATGGCACGGCAGACTACTTTGTTTGGTACAGCTGCCTGCGTGTGTATGGACTCCATGGACTCCACCTACATTTATGTAGGTACAGTACATGTGTCATCAATATTTTTTTCCTTAAAAAAGTAGGGGGGTGGGCGGTGGGTCCTGGTTACTTTGTAAAATTCACGGATTGAAAAAACTATCGATATTTACGGATGGCCCCTTATGTGTCTTTGTTGTGCTAAATATTCCTGTCATGCAGATGCTATGGCAAGGATGTCATCTACTGTATCCCTGGAAGAGGATGCCAATGTGCCAGAGAGGTCAACGCGCACTCGGCGACGGCGAAGCAAACTACCTTGTAAGTGGCCTAGTGTGCCGCATCGCTTGATCTCCCCCCCCCCCCCCCTCTCCTCTCTCTCGCTTTGTGTGTGTGCGCGTGTGTGCATATGCGTACCGTGTGCGCATTTTTCCATGAACTGTGCATCATGTGGAATGGTGTACATGTGCTTTTCTATGCTCAGTCATAGTCCAGGAATACTATACAAAAGGGATTTTAATTACCAGTACAGTGGAGATCGGATATAACGACCTTGAATATAACGACAGATTGAGTTTAGCGACACAATTCTGTTCCCCAAGTCGTTTTGTAAGTCCTTTGTGAAGATCGGGTTTAGTGACAGATCGAATATAGTGACATTTTGTTCTCTCCCGAAGGAGTGTCGTTATATCCAATCTCCACTGTACTTCAATTCCCTCTGATAGATGGGACTCTATATGAGAATGATCACTATTGGGGCTCTATACGTGATGTGATGCAAAACCAGAAAGAGTGGGCTTCCAAGATGTGGCGAGGAACTACAGTATATTTCTGATATCCCGATTCCTTTCTTCTGCATCTGGTCCCTAGCGTTGGACAGGACCGCTCACTACAAGACGTCGTCCGGCGGCAATGCAGCCGACCAGGAGAACGGCGAGGGCGGCGGTGGTGGTGGAAGTTGGACGTCTAGCGGCACATTTCGCCACAAAGGCCGATCGACAGGTATGTTTGTAGATTAGAGCATACAGGTCCTTGATGATATCACCGGGCTACTTTCTAAGCCTGAGGTCCATTGCTGTTTCGAGGCACTGATTTTCCGACATACGTGTGTTTGATAACTGGAGAGCACCTACACTCATACCTCTCTTATCCGGACTTCCAAGTTACGGCCACCTTGGTCTACCGGGCACCCTGTGGGTGAGTTTTAGTGGAAATAGCACTACTAGTTTGCCAAGTTTTGTTGAAATAGTGATGTCATATCCCAGATCTCTGGCCCTTCCCCATCAAAATTGTATGGGATTCAGAGTTACGGACAATTCCCAGTTATGGCCAGTGCCCGGTCCCAGACTGCCCGGATACGAGAGAGTGTACTCTGTTTAAACAGACGTGCTGATCTTGCGTGTCATACTGTTCAGCCCGCTCCATGAATAGCTGGCGCCGCATACTTCCCGTGTTTAAAAACTTTACAGTTTTGGCGCTTCGTAGCGCACTGCATGCATGCAGCACAAAAGTGCAATTGAGGCACGCGCCACAAGTTGACCGGACCGTGATTTCCTGCTTGTCAGTGCTTGCTCTTGCACCAGCTTAAGTGCCATATTGGTGGTATTGGACACTCATTTCAGAGTTCCGAGCATCTTTGCACAATACATGTGCTTGTGGGTGATTCATACTGTTTTTAAAGGGGAAGTATACCCTAAAATAAATTTTTCACCAGTTGTAGTCTTCGGGGTGCTGAGTCGAATGGTCTTGGTCCGAGGAAGCTGAGACGCTCCCTTCCTCCTTTATTCCCAATCGATCTCGCGCACTTCCACCGAAATTGGGTGACTGCGCCCTACTAGATAGGGATTTGTGTGGAAAAAGTCACTGAAAACCCCATTTCGTTCCTATAAAAGCGCGGATGACTGCGATCGGTCCGTATGTTGTGGTCTTTTGGCCGCTGAGTCGACTGGTCTTGGTTCGAAAAGGCTGCGATGCAGTGTTCGGCCCTTATTCCCAATCGAACACGGGTGAGTAAGCGGTCATGTGCTCATTTTCAGCCATTTTGGGCCCGTTTATGTAACTCGAGTTGAACCTTTGAACCAGGGAGTCGTAAAAGCCTCTTATGTCTCCCTGCTTTGAACCTTTGAGTTGAACCTTGATGTGAAAATTGTAGCCTGCAGGCACGGTGACCAGGCGACTGGTGTACGCATGAGCACGTGACCGCTTACTCAACCGTGTTCGATTGGGAATAAGGGCCGAACGCTGCAGTGCAGCCTTTTCGGACCAAAACCAGTCGACTCAGCGGCCGAAAGACTACAACATATGGACCAATCGCGGTCATCCGTGCTTTTATATGAACGAAACGGCGTGTTTAGTGACTTTTTCCACACAAATCCCTATCTAGTAGGGCGCAGTCACCCAGTTTCGGTGGAAGTGCGCGAGTTCGATTGGGAATAAAGGAGGAAGGGAGCGTCTCAGCGTCCTCGGACCAAGACCATTCGACTCAGCACCCCGAAGACTACAACTGGTGAACATTTGATTTTAGGGTATACTTCCCCTTTAACCTCAACTGGGAACGAAACACAGGGGGGGGGCTAGTACATGTATTGCAGTCATATCGGGGGGGGGGGGGGGGTGTCCCCCATGGAGGTGCGTCTAACCAGAGTTGCACAATAATGAACTTAACCCACCCTGTGTTCTGTACATATTCTCCAGTACGCCGGAAACTGAAGAAGATGAATAACCTTCTGCGGCCGGCAAACAAGTAAGGTGGCTGGAAGACTCATTTTGGATTTTTGCTAGTGATGTAACGAATAATCGATCGGATAAAATCTAGGTCGAAGGTTCGAAAATTTGAATATTCGCGGGCGGGCGAAGTCTATGCGCTGCATACCGCGCGCGCACGCGCGCAACTCTAGATCTCTCGACTTGAATGCATAAACTTTGTACTGTGTTGCAGACAACGACTAGACTACGCACGGCAGACCAATGTAGACTCTACTTTGACTCGAGTCTGAGCGCTTGTGTTGTGTGTTTGCTACATGTACACTTCTTGTGGAATAGTAGAATAATCGTCCGTTCGCTTGAGTGGTATTCGCTAGATAATTATTTATATTATTATTATTTTGCTTGTTCGCGTTGGCATCAACCTGCATAAAGCAAGTATATAGCCTTCGCTTAAGGCGGCTGGGGTGGTACAACTTTTTTGGGAAAATTTTGACTGCATTTTTGAGTTTATCGGCAAGGCAGAGATGAAATTTGAAAATGTTTTCTGGTGAATCTCTGGAGAATAGCCTTCTCTAGCTTCCTATAGTTTTATTTTTACTTTTGGACAAAATTTGAAAACGTTTTATGAAAGGTTCGTGTTATTTTTTCACGGACCTTTCATAAAACTTTTTCAAATTTTGTCCAAAAGTAAAAATAAAACTATAGGAGGCTAGAGAAGGCTCTTCTCCAGAGATCCACCAGAAAACTTTTTCAAATTTCATCTCCACCTTGCCGATAAACTCAAAAATGCAGTCAAAATGCTAGAGGAAAAGATAACGATAACAAGATACAGAATACAAAGAAATCCAATGAGTTAAACATGCAATTCAAAACAAGAAAGAAAGAAAAGAAAAACAGAGATAATTCTTTCGCAAAAGTCATGGTTCGTTACATCACTAATTTTTGCTCTTTAAAAGATTATTGTTAACCCTTTGTGACCCCATCGATCGATATCGATCGATTGGTATACGGTGGCACTAAAAATAATATATCTCTGGTGTTCCTTCCCCGATTTTCATAAACAAAGCATCTACGTCTCGAGAGGAACCTTGGCTATCACGTCGAAGTTATCCGAAGTCTCTACGAGGTACGATGCCGCCGTGGTGAGACTCGAGGTCAGCGGAAACTGAAAAATTCACTCCGATCGAAAAATTCAAATTTTCACACTGCACTTGGCAGGGTTTTTCCCCTGAGTGCTACGTCATACTCAAGCATGCTACACACCAAAATGTTGCGCTTGAAACGAGCTTTCTGCTGTAGTTTATTTGAAGTCGATGTGATGAAGGAGAATGCCGGGAATGGCGGCTGTTTGAACTTTGCTGGAGCTGTTCGCGCACGGCTGCTGTTTTGAGCGGCATTCTAGGCCACGCAGAGCAGAGGCCGTGCAGGTAGCTGGCTTGAGTGTGGTATAAGTCGCTTCGTCTTGGAAATACCTTTCCAGCGGTGGCAAGTTTGTAAAAATCGGTGAATGTTTGGCAGAGATACAAGCGAAAGTGCATGTTATTTGGAGGTGAGTAAATTGTCGTACTTTCAGTGGGGTCACAAAGGGTTAAGCATCCCTTGTACATGGTCAGCCTGTCCCTTTGTTAACCTAACACTTCTATGTGTTTTTTTCTTCATTTTGTCTCTCCCTTCCTCCCTCCCTCCCCCTCCCATATGCGTTCTGGCTGGCAGGACCACGCGGAAGACGGCTGCCAATGCAGTTGATCTCAAGGAGGTTAGTGATAGCAACAGTACGTAAACAACACCGTCCAAGAGTGGGCAACTAAATTACTTGGCAATTTCTTGGCGCAACCTGCAAGAAGCATCGAATGGCTTCCTTTGTATCACTTGACTTTAGTATTATGAGCGTGACATCATCCGGTGTTGTTTGTGAGCGTGACATCCGGTGTTGTTTGTGAGCGTGACATCCGGTGTTGTTTGTGTCGGACGGTATGGGAGCATGCGTTGTTGTTGTTTTTATTTTTATTTTTTAATTTGAATTTTATATTCTCACGATGGCACCATCGCCAATAAGAGTTGTTGTTGTTGTTGTTGTTGTTGTTGTTGTTGTTGTTGTTGTTGTTGTTGTTGTTGTCGTCGTTATTGTGTGTGTGTGTTTGTGTACATGTGCATGCCACCCATGACATGTGTCACACACGTATATTTTGTGCAATGATATTGTGTCCAGGGAGCAGAGCAGGAGGATAGCAACATCCAGGTGGATAGCGAAGGATATTCCATCCAGCCCGACCGTCAAGAAGATATCCTGTCAGCAATGAGCGCTGCTGCTGTGTGCATGTGTTGTGTGCTCGTGTGACCGGTGTGCTGTGCAGTTATTACTCATTACGGCGGTCGCATCACCGTCATGCATACTTCTCACTGAATAGACTTTTGTTTACAGCTTGCGTGTACATGTACGTGGTAAGCTTGCTGTTGACCCTCTCCTGGTGTGTAGTCTAGCTGGTCTCGCCCCCCCCCCCCCCCCCCCCCCCCCCCCCTCTCCATTCCCGCACGCAGTCGTCGTGTGTGTACTTGTATGCTCTCTTTGGAAATGTATCCTTGACTATCGCTTGTACTGATCAGTGGCGATGTCGCATTCTCTTCCAGTTCTGACGACGAATCCGACAAGGAAGCAACGCCGGAAATCTTGAAAGGTACAATGTCCATCCCACCACTGTGTACTGCTAGTCTCTGCTACATGTACTCGGGTTGTCTCTGGTTACTGCCTGGCTGGCTGCTCTCATTCTCCTCTTTTCCGATAGTGCGCTTTAGTATTGTGTTGGAATGATTTGATTGATTCCCATACTGGCAATGCTCGCTTTCTCTCTCTTTCTCGCACATGCCTACTCTCACTCGCTCGCTCACTCTCTCTCCCTCTCCCACTTTCTTTCTCTGTCTTTCTTTCCCTGTCTCTCTCTTTCTGTGGGTTTACGTATGCCGTGTGCATGCGTCTAGGCCTGAAAGGAATCGTTATAAAGCCAAATAGTCAGCGATCTGCACCCACCGAATCCGAGAATGCCAATTCCACCTTGTTTGAGGCAGCCACAGCTCTTACACTCGTCAAGAAGCGTTGCTCCAGTATTGTGAGTGCTACTAGTCATGTCTCCGACAACACAGCACACTGCTCTTCTACCATTATACCAATCTTTTTTGGTGGCAGCGGACGGGGGGGGGGGGGGGGGGGGGGGCAACTGAAGCAGGTTTCCCAAAAAAACATCTAGTATTGACCCTTTTCTACCCCGATACCTGACTTGCCCTAGACTGTTGCGACGTAATAATGGGTATGTGTACTGTATTTCACCAAATAAATAAAAATTCTTATTTCGAAGAGGGAGATGTGATTTACAATTGAGTGTCTTTCCCTCAAGTTTACATACTGGAAATTTGACAGAAACCTGGAAGTTGGGTGTGACCCGGGAGTTCTATAAACCAGCGAGGGGCCATGGCTTGCAAAAGCTCGGAGTATGTGTACCTCGCGATTTTTGGAGAAGCCCCCCCCCCCCCCCCCAGAGTGGATCCAATTATACTGAAGCATGACCCAGACATCGTCAATTGTTGACTGCTGACATCGTCACTTTCAAGCCCTGTTGATAGGCTAGGCCGCTCGCCATCAGTGCTGAGTATTGTGCATAAAGCCGGTTCCGCTGTGGTAGGTGCATGTACATGACTTCGGCCCCAAAACATGGGGTATTGATAATCTTTTCTTATTGTCCGCAAACTCCAGCGCAGCCACTTACCCAGGTAGTTTTGGGGGTCGGATGTGATCAGTGGGGTAAGATCCTTCTTTTCTTTTCTTTTTTAAATAAACATGGGTTTGGGTATCATGATCCTGTGAAAATCTGTTATTGAAAACACATAGTTTTGCAGTATTTTGAACTGTATTTTCTGTACCGATATATCGACTCATTTCTTCCATGCTGTACGTGCATCTGTTGCTGCTGCTGCTGCCGCGGCTGTAGGGATCAGCATCTGACGTCAGCGACGTTGTTGTTACCGGTAAGTTCCATCGAAGTCCCTAGCCGCATGTATGTGTTAGGTTGGTTATGATTGGTGCATAGGTCTGGTTGATGCTCTGTTGCAGCCTTGGAAATACCGTATCTTCTCTTTATAAGCGTAGAGCTCCATTACAATCACAGTCTCCATGAATTAGTCTTCGAGTATGGGGGGGGGGGGGGGGGGGGTGTCCACCAAACTTTGCAATATTCAAGCCCAGGCTCTATCATACACGCTGTCTTCAAATTACCTCATTGTGGTGGTATGATATACAAAATGAGTTTTGGAAAACGGAACCCAGAACACTTTGAACAGATATGGAGGACCTCCAGAAGATCCAAGAAGATGAAAATGTGACTCCACTAGAAGTGTCACTGTCTGGGCATTCGGCAAGGGGTTATTCATAAGCACCGAATGTAACTTCTCTACTGTGTCCATTATAAACCCAGAGCAGAGTGGAATTGAAATGAAGAAAATACAATACATTCATGCACCCGCGTTGGTGTGTTATCTGTTTGAGTGTATTTGTTTTCTTTGTGTGTGTGTGTGTACGTGTGTGTGTGTGTGTACGTATGTGTGTGTGTTTGTGTACGTGTATGTGTGTTTGTGTATGTGTGTGTGTGTGTGTACGTGTGTGTGTGTGTACGTGTGTGTGTGTACGTGTATGTGTGTGTGTGTGTGTGTGTGTTTGTATGGGTGTATGAACCCGACACAGCTACATCCAACCAAACGGTGAACACGAACTGCCTTGGTACGACACGACCCAGACGTGCCTCTGTTGCCTCAGATATTGTCCGTACAACAGAGTAAGCAAAATTAACAGTTTTTTAAAATAATTTACGGGTGGGTGGCATGGTCCTGAGAATCTAGTCTTCTTGTGTTATATCCGTGAGCTCAGCACTTCCTCCGTAAACCGGAGGGCTAGATTACTCTTGTCTCGTCATTAGTGTATTTCAAAACCATACATGTGACCCTACAGCAGAGTTGAAAGAAGCTCAGAGGGATCTTGCAGAGATTTGTAAAAGCCAACTTGTTTTACCATGATCGCAGCTCAAGGGCAAAGACTATAAATATAATTCATGATGGGAGCATAGTGATGGCGAGGCTTGTTGCCCTCAGCCAACCTGGGGTCTAGCCATCATGGGTACACCCAATCCACCAAGAAAGAGAAGTGACAGGTGCATGAAGTGAAAACAAATGTTAGGAGAACAGACTACATGCTGGTCCAATTCAGTATACATAATCTTGAATGATGCTTCGTTAGGGATCTCAGGGTGTTTGCGCATACATTGCGTCATCGAGTTTTGAGTGCAGCTCGTGGACACAGCTACAAAATGGCGACGGTAGATTTTCGACACTAGCGGAAGCGACTATCGACACTAGCGGAAGCGGTCGACACTAGCGGAAGCGGTCGACACTAGCGGAAGCGGTCGACACTAGCGGAAGCGGTCGACACTAGCGGAATCGTTATCTATTGTCGTCGAATACATAATTGTGATTCCTACCAAAGGATAGCGTGGCCTAGGCGATATCGCCCGGTCGATTTTTCTATAATTTGCCACATGGCAAGAACCCACTTCAGAGAAGATTCAGAGAAAAATTCAGACGTTTTCCCCGGTTAGAGTGTCCTAACTTCGATTTCAGTGCATCGGCCATCATGAACATCACCACCATTATCACGCAGAGAGAAGACATCGCGCTCAGAAGAAGAGGTGTAAAATATAAGAGTAAAATATTGTGCTCTTTGACCCTCCATAGTTCCTCTGAGAGAGTGTCTGGGAGATAGGTAGCTTGGAGATGGCCGTAGAACGTGCTTTCTTGGGCGCAACATTCAGCCATTTCTACTGTCTTCAACTTGATTTATTTCGAAAAAATGTTCTTTTTCACGGTTTCTGCACTGGACGCGTTTGGGATCGAAAATCTCACCTGCGCAAACTGGGTGCGCAGTTCACGCGCTGAGATCCCTAGCTTCATGCAGTTTCATTGTAAATATGAAAAGATTGCCAGCAACATTGGCTGACACCCAACACCTGCTGATGGTCATGAATCCGAGTCATGATGACATACACGTTGACATCTACACTTGAGGAGGGCTTTAGTGAAATGCAGCTGTTGAGCGTCGTCGGTCACTGTTGCTGGCAACTATATTTCTGTACATGTATACGCGTTGGTACTATACACAATATATAGGGTGGGTATTGTATGAGGTGACCTAGAAATCCGCTGTTGGCACCCCTTTTCACGGGGACCTGATTTATACGGCCTGGCTGCATTGCTCTTCGTAAGAAATGCCTGGTTTGCTGTTGCTATGAGCATTTTCTAAGTATGACCGTGAAATGTATTGTAGTAGTAAAAACCAGCCTGGTGGTGTGCATTCAGTGATGCTTGCCGTCCTGTACATCTGCTTGCGTGCGTGTGTGTGTGTGTGTGCGCGCGTGTGTGTGTGTGTGTGTGTGTGTGTTGTCATGTTGGTGTGCTCGGGCATGTGTGTATGTGGCTGTGCTCGTGTGTCTGCGCATTGATTTCATTCGTCTGTAGCTTTGCAAGTGGCAGTGGCAGTTGGCGGGATAGTGACTCACTGGAGAAGAGTCCACAACAAGCGGAGACGTTTCAGCAACAGCACCGGGCAGGCCTGCAGATCGTAGACACTGACCAGCATTCGCTCGGAGAGAACTATGGTTCGTCGGATAGATTACATGGTGAGCTATCACGCAAGGGCGTATTGTCTCCGACAAACAGCAGCGTTTCCCTGAAAGCTGCCTTTGCCGGCGACCTCTCGCGCTCGTTCTCTCCCTTTGTCTCTCGGCGTGACACCGGCCTTGCTTATGCAATGTCAAGTGGCGGTACTAGTAGCGTCGCAGCGAACACTGATAATAGGCATCCAGCGCGATGCACCGGTGATACAACAACTGGCTTAGTCACAAGAAGTCTGGAGCAGGGGATGGTGATGGTTGAGAACCAGAAACAGCTGAGTTCTGCTTGGTCTAGTCAAGTGAACAGCTTCACTTCGAACAACTCGTCTATATTGTCACCAAAACCGGTCGGTAATGCATGGTCGTCGAGTTCAACGCCGGTTGTCCCTCAGCTTTCCTCCACATCGCCGTGGGGCGATTCTAAAGCGGACATCGGTGACAACAATGACACCTGTGAGGAATCAGAGGGTCCTCTCCGCTGCAGCTTCTCCGCTATGTCATTCTCGCAGACCATTGCCAGTATAGAAGCCAGCAACACTCCCATCGCCTTGCAGACCTGCTTGTCCGATGACGCCAGGTCATCCCACAGTGACTCCTCGATGAGTCCTGTTCCTGGTATCGGCGCAGAGATGCATGGCACCGGTGGCCGGCGGGATTCGTACGACATTGCTCCGACAACGACAGCTGCAGCAGGAGCCTCTCCGAAACAAGAAGAGTCTGGACTGAAGTTGCCGGTGTCCGGGTTTTTTGCTGCCGAGGAATCTAATGACATGATGACTATGGAAGCATTCTTAGAGGAGCTAGGCAAGGAGAAGACGGAAGCGGGTAAATGCCCATCGTCCCCATTGAAAAGCCTAACTGCTAAGATAAGCGAGTCGTTCTCACCGATCACTCGTGCCGCTAGTGCCGTGGTGCAGTCGTCGCGGTCACGCAGCGCACACAGATCTCTGTCCTCGGACTCTTTCAAGGGCCAAGTCCCGTCCTCGCCAAACAGCATGTCCAACGTGCCAAGTTTTGTAACCGAAGGCTCCATTGCTACAAGCGAAACATCCATTGCTACAAGCGAAACTTCCATTGCTACGAACGGAACCTCCATTGCTGGGGATGATGCACCGGTGCCAATCAATCCGATGCCCTTCAATCTGGTGCCAATTAGTCCAGTGCCCATCAATCCAGTGCCCACCCATCCAGTGTCTGCCCACCCGGTGCCCTTCAATCCAGTGCCCTTCAATCCAGTGCCCATCAATCCAGTGCCCAACCATCCGGTGTCCACCCATCCAATGCCCTTCAATCCAGTGCCCATCAATCCAGTGCCCAACCATCCGGTGTCCACCCATCCAGTGCCCACCCATCCAGTATCCATCAATCCAATGCCATGCCGTACACGATCCCTTGGTTGCGGTACAGTTTCCGATAGTCCTGCTGCACAAAACGAGCTGACATCCCTGGCAAGCCCAACGCGGGAGGAGGCGGATTGGCCCGAGCATGAGCGGAGGGACTCAACTGCCACTCAAACAGACCATGTCGAGGGACTTGATTCTGTATCGTGTGCACAAGATGATCTAGACGACCAGGACGCTTTCCTTTCCGACGTGTCAACGCAGATGCCAACAGAAAACCAAGCAAGTCCACTAAGTGAGCCCTCCTCTCCGGATTTAGCTTCAGCAACTACAGGGGAAGCAGTAGCAAGGTACAGTGCATCACATGCCCCTGTTAGAGTAGCAAGGTACAGTGCATCACCTGCCCCTGTTAGAGTAGCAAGGTACAGTGCATCACCTGCCCCTGTTAGAGTAGCAAGGTACAGTGCATCACATGCCCCTGTTAGATCGAACACAGTAATGACCGAGTGTTCTGTGGAATCTTTGACATCTCTCAACCAAGTTCATCTTGCCACTGATGAGCTTGATGTTGTAAGCAAGGAGACGCCTAGTAGTACAGAGAATGAGGAGATACCTAAAAGTACACTGAACGAGGACATACCTAGAAGTACGCAGAACGAGGAGATAGCTAGAAGTACACCGAATGAGTCTTCTGAGCTGGCATGGGTGACTGCTCGTGTTGGTGAGAGCCAACTTGCTGCTATTGAAGGAGGGGTGCCGCCGTCCAGTGCTGAGAATGGTCGCCTAGAACAGGAATCGGCCAGCAATGCGTCACCTGAGCTTGCCTCTATGGTGAACGCAGCACCCTGCGGGACTGAGAGTCGGGATGCTGTTCGTGCAGAGGACGCACCCTGTCATGGTGAGAGTGAAGTCGCTGCTACTTGCGTTGCTAGAAGTTCAGAAAAGAAGCCCTGCAAAGAGTGCAGCACGACCAGGCCCCTGACCGTGTGGCCGGAAGTCTCCATGGGCGCTTCGCATTCCAATACCCGCGTTAATAGTGTGGCATCAGCCTCAACAGCTACCAGGCGGCCCGAAAGGATCGTGCTGGTCAACAATCCCAGTACACCACAGTCTGCACCACCAGCAGATGTTTCCCAGAACGCGAGTGTGCCGGAAGCAACTGCGTCTGTACCATGCCAGCCTGCCGGTGCTTGCGTAGGTGCTGAAGCGAGCAGCGAGCACTGGGGTCGCATGGTTCCTTCTCCGGTGAGCACTCCGGATCACACAACGGGAACGGCACTTAGCAGGCAGTCAAGCTTAACGCCGTGTGATGACCAACACGTCGTTGAACCGTTCTGCGTTAATGTGCCGGTGCTGGCTATTGTCGAGACCATCAGCTCTATCTACACGCCCAGCATGTCTGACATTATATCTGAACTCGACGGTGCCGTATCGATTGACATTCCACAGGACCTGCTGTTGTGTGCTGCTGACACCATCATGCTAAGCAAGTTCAAGCTGGCCGGATGCCGCAGCGTTTCCAATCTCATCTTCAACTCGCTGTTCAGCAAACGGTAAGTGCAAGTCTGCCCACTTTCTATTGATAATATTCAGACCATGCCAGGTCATGATCCATAGCGCCGACGATACATGTATATGCTCTGCATAATTTTCAAATCTTTCGCACAAAACGAAACAGTTTCGTTTATGGGTTTGTGGGACGAGGAGAGTTTCGTTATGAAAAATATCAAGAGTGCATAAACAAGAGTATGCAACTGTGGTGATGGGTCAGTGCGCGGCGCGCTGCCTTCATTACGTAACTTGCCTTCATCACGCTCTGAAAGCATGCATTCAAACTCCCAATTTCTCGTACGAGCCCATCCGTTTTTGCTCGATTCGTTCCAGTACCTACGCGATCTCTAAATTCTGGCGCGTGAACTCCAGTTCCCTACGAAAGTTCATTTCAAACCAGAGGGAAAGTGCGGTGTTTGATTTTCCGCAGTGCGCGGACTGAAGCTGAATGATGTAATGAAGGCAGCGCGCCGCGCATCTGGCCCATAGAAAAGAGATCACAGTTGCATACTCTTGTTTATGGACTCTTGAAAATATTGATAGCTGAAACAACAGTCCATTCTAGCTGTCAAGTCAATATATTTTTCGTTCAGGGCGGTGGGTGTGGGCCAGGTCGTAACTAAACTATTTCGTTTCGTGAAAATTATCGATAATGCCGGATGGCCTCTTAGCGATATTTCTGCAGTTTACTTGCCCTACGTGTACTGGTGAAAAATTCCACAGTCTTGATACTACACAGCTCTGATACGATCAAACTATATGCATCATACTCCAGTATAATTACGTCTGGTAGACCTGAAACGAACCTTACTTGTAGGCAAACGAAACATTCTGATGAGCTGCCCATGTCCACCAAAGCCCTCCATCACACAAGTGACACAGTCATGTCAGTCAAATTGCTATGGCCAGCTGTAGATCATAGCCTAGTTCATAGTACAGTGACTGGTACTTCAGAAAATCAACATCACTGAAATGGAATGAGAGAAATTCTGATTCGAAACTGGAAGCCAAGTTCGAATAATTTGATAATATAATGTAAGGCAACCAAGAAGTGGACAACCTGCAGTCTGCTGTCTTGGCTCTTGGTTAGAATAGCTGTGGTGATTGGGACATGCCAGGGCTGGCTGGCTGGGCTTTGCATGCATGCTCACTTTTACAGTTTTAGTTCAATGTGAGCACGGGACTGCATGTACCTGCACATGCATCGACAAATGTGCAACCCCTTGAAGTAGTAGCGAATCGAATGCACTTCAACGGATCGAACCTACAATTGTAGGCGAACATTCCAACATTCGTTTCAACCCTAATTTCTAAAACACCCCTAATGATTTGTCTTTCTCTCCATCACTTGTAACTTCAGAACATCTGGGGACGAGCTTCAGGTCAACTTGAGGAAGATAGTCAGCAAGATAGCCAGAGAAGAGTTGGAAGACACGGCAGTGTCAGAACTGGGACGAGTTGTTAAGCTTGCCTACTATAACGTAAGCACACACACACACACACACACACACACACACACACACACACACACACACACACACACACAGTGTCATACATACAAACACACACACACACACACACACACACACACACACACATATACACACACACACACACACACACAACACACACAAATACACACACACACACACACAAAGACACACACACGCGCACACACACACACACACACACACACACACACACACACACACACACACACACACACATGTGTGTGTGCTCTTACATACGGTAGAACCAGAACCTCTGCAATGCAACTACATCTATCGTTCATAATAGGCAGGTGCAAAGTGGTTTATGGTGTGTTCCATGCCTGACAGATGTAGTGTGTGTTCAAGGCTACTTCTAATTCTTTGCCAATGGCTCCTGCATGGCTGCTCAGCGTGTGTGTGTGTGTGTGTGTGTGTGTGTGTGTGTGTGTTTGATGGCTGTACCGCTTCTCTCTTTTCTCACTGAAGATCAATTTGCGGAATGCTGATGTCATGCCAATGCGCATCACTGGTACGTTCACTCCGACTAAAGAGGGCAACGTGTTTATTGATGTTCGTTACGGACTCAACCCGCAGTCCAAGGTGTACCGGGATGTCACCGAGCTCAAGATAGCACTGATCGTTCCACCCGGGTTTGCTGTTATTGATGCGTCGGCCAATGCCCTTCGGTAGGTTGCATGGCTATCTCTCCTTCTCTCTATTCTCTCTCTCTCTTTTTCTCTCTCTCTCTTTCTCTCTCTCTCTCTCTCTCTCTCTCTCTCTCTCTCTCTCTCTCTCTCTCTCTCTCTCTCTCTCTCTCTCTCTCTCTCTCTCTCTCTCTCTCTCTCTCAGATAGCACTGCTTACAAACATACACGCAAAACCCACTGTCTGCTGTTTTCAGACATGGGTGCCCTATCTGATGGGAACTTGGTGATTATTCAATACTTGTTTCTCCCTCTTTTCCCCATCTTCGTTGTAGGGATGAAAGCACAGTTAGGTGGAGCATTGAAACTATCAAAGGTGAGTAAAACTAGCTCAAAGCCCCTTTGAATACTGTATACGGTAATCGCTTTCCTGTGTAGAAGCTTAAAAAGCTGCTTTTATGTGGTTTTCTCCAAAACAATCCTCAGTGCATTTCCACTTTAGCCTGGCTGCAATTCATAATTGTTGGACCGGAGCAATCGCAGAAATAATTGCGCATGTATTCAGTTTCTCTGCCACCCTTGCTACCGACAGAGGACCAGAGCTGCGTTATTTCCAGCCGACAAACAGTGTGTCTGTGTGCCGCATGTGCCTTGTCTGGATAGCTCGACGGAACAGTGACGTGGGGCAGATGAAGCCGATCACGCTGATGTGCCATGCAACAATGCCGGAAGGCAGTGGCGCCAGTGCCATGCAGGGCGTAGCGGACGACCTGAAGTGGATGATCAAATTCCACTACTACACAGAGGGCACACTCCTGTCGAAACTCACCGGCGAGGTGTTTGACGGAATACCCGACCACGCGCTGTCTGTCAAGAAGCGGGTCATCGTACGAGGTGAGTGCTTATCTGAAACGTACCGCATGCCTTTTTTTTGTTTCACTCTCGCCGCCGCTTGAGCATTCCCCTTTATCCAGCGTGGGGGACTTAATTTCTGCTGAATGAGCAAGGTTGTGGGATGAGCAAATCTGATGTGCTGCGTTGTAATGTGCATGAAGGGCTCGTGTTCCTGAAGATGATGCTGGCTTAGCAAGGCTACTTCTGATTCTTTGCCGATGGCTCCTGCATGGCTACTCAGCGTGACTATGGGACATCTAGATGGGAACAATGATAGCCAGAAGAGCTGAGCCACAGTGCAAGAACAAAAATCTATCACCAGGACGTACCTCAACTCTTCTGGTCTTCTTGCCAGGCGGATGTCATTCGCACCGCAATAAAAACCCTTCAGAAAATCGACAATCACTGGCAGTCTGGCATGCGTGAGTCCCACGGAACATGAAGGGCATCTCTTCATACCCGCAATGAACATGAACGTCAACTGCTAGTCCTGGCCAATAAGGTGACTTCCACAAGCACCCCCCCCCCCCCCCCCCCCCCCCCCGCAAGCAAAATTAACCCTTTCAGCATGGCCAGGGTGTGTAACTGACCCGCGGAGCCAAAACCAGTGATTTTCGTGATTTTCCAAAAGTAGTCCTATTCACTCACAATTTTTTCTGCGGAATGCATAGGTTTCAGTGAGAACAATTCCCAACACAAAATTCCATATTTGGTCAATAGAAGCCAGTAAAACGAGTACAAAATATACGCATTTTTGATGAATTTTCGCATAACACGGGTTGAACGTACCAGAGCATGCAGCTCATTTATACTAGAATGGCCAGGTGGATATGATGGTAAGAACTAGGTTTGGCATAATTTAAAGAGTCGGCGTGGAGAAAGCAATTTTATTAGTGCAATTAGGAGTATAATCGATGCAGACATGGCCAGACAACAACGAGTTCATGGAATTTTTAAGGCCTCAGTTCCGATACTATTCACTGATGAGCGGAACACGAAAATCGATTTTGAATAACATAAAAATCCTTAAAAATTCCATGAACTCGTTGTTGTCTGGCCATGTCTGCATCGATTATACTCCTATTTGGCATAATTAGTAGTAAATTACGGTTTTGTTCTTGAGTAGATGATGACCAAATATGGTCATGTTTGCTGAAACCAGCTGAGGGGCGTCAGGAACTATTCAATGTGCATACGAATAGCTAGGCAACAGGTTCTTGCCGAACAGACACCGGCAGAGACATGCACATATTCACAACCATACAGATCTATCCAGCCATGCAATTCTCGCATTCACATTCACCCGTACACTCATGTACACTATTGGACACGTGTCTGAAAGCGCACCCGAGCGCGGGCACGCGTGCGCCCCCCCCCCCCCCCCACACAAATTATATAATGTAGCTCACATAAATTATTGAATGCAGCTCACACAAAGTAGCTGAGCGCTGCAATACCACTACAGTGAACTAGCAGGTAGCTAGCAACTACATAAAGCCTGTCACGATCCTCAAGCGGTGCCCAGACCTGAACACCCATGACACGAGCGAGTACAGCTCTATTTCCCTCGGTGAGACTCCTCGAAACACTGAATGCAATACGAATGGCTAGGCAACAGGTTCTTGCCGAACAGACACCGGCAGAGGCATGCACATATTCACACCCATACAGACCTATCCAGCCATGCAATTCTCGCACTCACATTCACCCGTACACTCATGTACACAATTGGACACATGCATGAAAGCGCACCCGAGGGCGCGCGCGAGTGCGCGCCCACACACACACACACAAATTATAGAATGTAGCTCATACAAATTATTGAATGCAGCTCACACAAAGTAGCTGAGCACTGCAATACCACTACAGTGAACTAGCAGGTAGCTAGCAACTACATAAAGCCTGCCACGATCCTCAAGCGGTGCCCAGACCTGAACACCCCTGACACAAGCGAGTACAGCTCTATTTCCCTCGGTGAGACTCCTCGAAACACGGAATGCAGTACCCAGGATTCCCGAGGCAATCAGCGCACATGGTGCGGACATCCTTCCGGTTACCCTTGCCGTAGCAGACAACACACTGTTTCTGCGGATTAGCCTTTTTCTCGGTTGCCGGGATGTAGCGGAGGAAGTGGCTGTCCATGCGCTTCGTGCCTGTGGCTCCACCAGTTGCTGCAGCAGCTGCTTCCGCGTGAGCTACCATCTCCGCCTTGCCTTCGGCGATGAGGGCTTTCAGGGTGCGCTTCACAAAGTCGAAGTGCGTCATGCGGTTTGACTTCCTGTGCAGGATATACGCGTTCAGGAGTGCTTGCTCAATCAGATGCACGGCGAGCTTCTTGTACCACTTCCGGGACTTGCGTGCAGCGGTGTAGAACGACAACATCTCATCATTTTTGTCAACTCCACCCATCTTCTTGTTGTAGTCCTGTACAAGACGAAGCTTGCGGACTGGGCGGCGCTGCCGATCTCGCTTGCCAGTTGGCTCTACGTTTGCCTTGTGCATCGTGGACAGAAAATGCACCTCCTTCGTGTCCTGCAACTTTATAAACATCATGCCACCACCGCTCCGGTACAGAAAGTGGCCTTTCTTTAGCCCCTTGAAATTTGCTATACGCTTCGGTAGTCCGATCCGGTTCTTGCGAATGGTACCGCACACTCCCGTTGCGTTGCCCTTGAGGTAGGTGGCTATCGGGATACTCGTGTACCAGTTGTCCACGTACAGCTTATACCCCTTCCTGAGAAGCGGCTCAACGAGCTTGTGCACTACCGCACCGGACACGCCGAGCTCCTTGACCTTCTCAGGGCAGAAGGTTTCGTTGTCCTTCCCGACGTAGACAATCAGATTGAAGAGGTAACCGCTGTCTTCGCAGAGCGCATAGATTTTCATCCCGAAGCGTGCTCGCTTCGACGGAATATACTGGCGGAATGATATCCTTCCCTTGAACGCCACCAGTTCCTCGTCAATTGAAATGTACTCGTTGGGAGTGTAAACGCTCATGAATCGCTCCTGAAGCAACGTCAGAAGAGGCCGTATCTTGGAGAGCTTATCGTTGGGATCTTCTTCAGCGTTGTCCATGAAGTGCAGAAAGTTCATGATAGAGGTGAAGCGCTCGCGCGGCATCGTGCGGCTGTAGAACGGTGTGGCGATGATGGGATCTGTGCTCCAATAGTGGTCAAGCTCGGGCTTAGGAACAAGGCCCATGTTCAAGAACAAGCCCAGGAACACTTTCATTTCGGCTACGGTAACGGGTGTCCACGAGCGGGCGAGGCTGCGCCGGGCCAGTGTTTCAGCGTTAGCGTCGATGTATGCTCTTGCAAACCGGTTTGTCTCCGTCACTAGCATCACCCAGAATTGTGCAGTGAAGAACAGCTTGACATAGTCCAGTGGAGTTGGATCGTCCGGGAGAGGCATCTTGATCCCTGGCTGGCCAGTAAATGGCGGCACATTAGGTTCCACATTCTGTTTCACCCAGATACCTGCAGTAACAAAAATCCATGACAAATCCTATGATGTTCCCAGTGTCACACACAAATGCTAATAATTATAATAATTTGCATTGTACAATTCTGTCCGCTGATTGAGTTGTACATGTGTATGAATACTAAAAATATAATTCAAATTTAGAACTCACAACGATAAGCATTTGCAACACAATACACATTTACATGCATTGTGAATGAGGAAAAATGTCCGTGCATGATCATTGAGCGATCAGCTGAGTGACAAGATTTTTAGTACAATTATTTGAAAATTTGAAATTATGAGTACTATTTTCAGATCCATAGGCACACTGACCTTCACTTCCATCGTCGCCCTCAGCGAGTGCTTCGACTGCTTCCACGTGCGTTTTAGCAGATATCCCCTCGTTCTCACCGTCACTGTCGCTGCTGGCGCTACCTACATCGTCATCCGCGGCGTCTCCTACGACATCGTCGTCGTCCAATTCATTTTCACTATCGCCTGGCGACGCTGCGCGATTTTCAGGCAGATCTCCATCTTCCTCCGACAGAACGATGTCGTCTTCAGACAATGTCGGCTCGACATCACTGTCAGGGTCGAGTACGACAAGGTCGAGGACATGATCGAGATCGTCTGCACCATATCGACGCCGCACCATGACAGCAAATTGTCAAAATTTCTATTGTTCAAATAATTTCGCACGCGACATCTGTGTAGGCGTACATAGCCGCACATGCGCGTGCGCCCGTCAGTACTATCGTAGAACTGTCGACGTTCATCCAGCACGTCACTGGTCCACGTAGGGATAAGATCCGTTGACCACGGATGTCTCGAGAGTACGTTCATTTTCACTGTACGCATCACGTATATATACGTGATCCGTGGGCCAGTTACATGTACCATCACGTACATATACGTGATGCGTGCTGAAAGGGTTAATCTGCAGAGCGACATTGTAGAGTTCAGAGCTTTTTAATTCACCTGTAACTCAGACTTTGACCACTTTGCTTCCTTGATGGATGGGTTGGGGGTGAGGATCGCCGACTGTGCAGTAACATGGGAAACATTTCTTCTATCCAGCCGTCGTAAAGGAGCAGAGCACAAGACTTTGTATTTTCAAGTCATTTCACTGTTCAGTCATGTGTTCTTCGTAGCATTAGGGCCGGGTTCCACTGCGGCTCCGCTGCTCCGCGGCACTTGGCTGCATGCAGCGGAGCAGCGCGGTTCCACTGACACTCGCCATTCGCGGTACTGCATTCGTGCTTCACGCTTTTTGATGACGTTCTACCTGCGTGTGCGCGCACGCGAAATAAAAAAATCCTCGTCTTCTGGCCTACACAACGAAATAAAATTTGAATTTTAAAATTCTGGCGTACAAAACAATGAACAGTACGGGAAACAGGTCGTGCCGCGACCGCGGCTCGCAGTTTTTGATCAAGAATCGTAGCAAAAGTTTGCGGTGAGCCGCGGCCTCGCTGCTCCAGCTCGAGCCGCGGTCACTATGGTAATGATGACGTTTCAAGCCGCGGATGACGAACAGCGGAGCCGCAGTGGAACCCGGCCCTTAGCAATAGCACCCTCAGATGAACTCTTTGTTTGTGAAATGTCAACTTTGTAGCGAAAAGTCAACTTTGGTTGTGAAAAGTCAACTTTGGTTGAAAACGTCAACGTTCATTCTATTGCATATTTGTGAACCGCATGTACGCTGTAGTTATCTTCAGATACTCACGTGTGTGATCATTGGGCTGTTGATGATCGCAGCGGGGAATTCTGCCGAGCATGCAATACATTGTACATGGTGTTTCGTGTCTCGCTGTCTGAACGTCTAGGTGAAGTGCCAGTGAAGCTGGACGACACCGTAATGAATTTGAACTGCGGGTAAATTGCCAGACTAATGGAATGGGGTTGTGTACAGTGTACAGTGTACAGTGTAGCCGAGGTCTGAAGCCGGTACTGACTTTAGGATACCACACATCTAGAAAGAACTACTAGTACGTGTAAAGTCCACAGCTAGGTATCACTCTAATTTATAATGGTGACTGACCGGGTAACTTGGAAAATGGATTCCAGTAACTCTTCATCTAAGGCGCTTGGTGAAAGCACTCAAGGAACTCATGCGAAATGACGGCGACGTAATCCTATTTCATGAGGTGACTTCCTCTGTTTTTATTAGCTGCCGTGGAACAGCATCGATACGCTTCAGTTCATTGGCAACAGCCTGATCTAGCTGTCTCGCTTGTGCCTCGTTTCCTGGCAATGCATTTTACACTATCATTTCTTTCCTCCACCACCACCACAGTTTTATCCTTCACAAGTGTCATGTGGTACAGCATTTCTTTTTTTAACAATAGGATTGTCGCAACAGAACTTTGCCTTTTTAAAGCTTTTAGATCGCTTCACTTTGCATCGGCTTTCACTGCTCCGTATTGGCAGTATTGACGATTTTCTACTCTAGCCCTTTCGCCATCGGCTTTTTACTGATTTTACTGCCAGCTGCATGGGCTGCATGCAGTGATGCTGCGCCTGCGCTTTACTCTTCTTTTCACCTTTGCAGTTGCTCACTGCTTCCTGGACCTGCGCACGTGCTGCACCTGCCACTCTTGCCCGCACTTGATATTATGACCTCAGTTATTCAATACGCACCTGCAACACCGTTTATATGACTTATATCATACACTTTAACTCCAGCACCCAGCGGGAATTCCCCCCCCCCCCCCCCCCCGTGGACATTTGCTTCCCGTCAGCTCATTTTGCTTTCTTCTCCACGAGCATTGATATTATGGCGCACTACCTCTGAACTCTGGCACCGCTAGACACATTGGCCTCCGTGTGGTGCAATGTCGCGCAGTGTCGTGCTCTGCAGTGCCTTGCCATGCTGTGGACAGTAATGTTAGTGCAGTGCAACACTGTGCCGTGCGTGTAGTGCTGTGGACAGCAGTGCAGTGCAACACTGTGCCGTGCTGTCTCATAGATGCACATTTTCATTGATCAGTTCAGGATGCATGGACCCACTCCAAGTGCATCCATTGGTCTTCTTTGACTACCGTGGCTGCGCTGTACAGATTCTTTGCACTGTTGATCAGCACAGCGAGGAGAGGTCTCTCTAATCCGCCCCATGGAAAGGGTCGAGATGACGAGTTGCTCTGGTTGCGGCATTTTACGATAGTACTCAGTAGTGTAGTCAAGAAGCAAACCTTTGTAAACCTTTGTATACTCATATACATTATGCATGTAGCTGTGAACTCCATTGACACACACTGTGACACAGCACTGCGACAGCTACAGTCGGCCGCTACACGGTCATTGACTTGAAACCAGGGAGTCATATCCAAACCAATGTACGACTCCTTGCGTGAAACACAGCTAAACCAGATAATATCCAAAGTAGAAGCATGGCAATGCATACTGAACGGGAAAGTACTAGTACTGCTTCAAGCATAATAAAATATACTAAAAATGGCCTGCATGTGTTAGACGAGGGCCACTAACCGACAAATAATTCCATGAAAGCAACATGTTGGTAAAAAATGTCTAAAACCTCAACACGAGGATAAAATATCTGCATAAAAATTCAACATGTCTGTGAAAATAAAACATGGAAAAACCATTAGAACATGGTGCAAGTGTTTCAAGGAATAAGTCCTATGCGCACAAGAGAATAGCACTGTTAAGCACGTGAAAGGAGTATTTGAAAGATACTGTCTCTGTGATGATTGTGTGTGTGCTAGCTTCCTACATACTATGCAGCAATACTTTGGAGAGTGGTGTGAGGCAAGGCCATGCGAAAACAGTGTGCAATGTTGTACCAGCACAATCCACTAGGGCAGACTCGTACCAAAAAACTGGCCAAGCATGGAGTCCCGCCAGCGTCTTGAAGCGCAACTTGTACAAACAGCTGCCACGTAGCACTATACTGGCTATGCATTCTGTATAGTACACAGACAAGCTACTCGATGCATTCTGTATAGTACACAGACAAGCTACTCTATGCATTCTGTATAGTACACAGACAAGCTACTCTATGCATTCTGTATAGTACACAGACAAGCTACTCTATGCAAGCACGTTCACTGGTGTGTAGTCTCGTTGTGCGGGCGTCACAGATAGTCCAGGGACAGCCAAGTCCATGTGCGTGTAGATCTTCATGTACATTGGCAAACCAGCCGTCATATCACACGCACAGCATACCTAGGCGAGCATGCCAGCGCTGGTCGGCAAAGAAAACATGACCGCCTCCGTACCATTGTGCACAGTACGTGCCTGTACCTATGTGTCTGCATGCTGCGAATCACTACCGCCCGTACCAGGGTCTGTGCCTGCGCCACTGCTTGTGTCTGCACTTGTGCCTGTACGAATGCTGCTACTACTGCTGGCCGCACTCCCGCTGAATGGCACTCCTGCAACGCCTTTGCGCACAGCGTCCGGACTAAGGTTACGGCGTATGCGTCGCCTCCTGGTGTTCTGCGAGTAGCGTGCCTGGTGCATGTTCTCCAGGTCGATGTGATACACAAAGCCAGCAATCAGCACCTCGCAGGCCTTCTCCTCGGCACGGTATGCTTTCTCGATCTCAGCATTGGTCCTGGGTTCGTACTGCCACCAGCCATTGTGTCCTTCATAGTACCATACACCAATATCATCTGTAGCATCACCAGCACCACCAGCAGCACTATCACCGTGCCTCGCCACCTCAGCATCCTCATGGGAGCCTGCTGCTGATCCTGTCGCAGTGCCATCAGTAACACCATGTGTCTGATGATGGCTGGTGGTATCCACACGGGGCAAGCTCACTGGCTCTACCTGCTTACTGTCTATCTGTGGCCGGGCTATCACCTCGTCAGGTATGGGCTGTCGACACAGCGCGCACCGTCGACTACGGAACGCGATGCCCTTGGCGCACAGGTAACAGAAAGTGTGGCCACAAGGCAGACAGAGAGGCAGAGTGCATTGCAGTAAACAGACGGCACATTCTCCTCGTTCATCTGAGCCTGGAGTAGAGCTGCTCCGCGTGGTAGTATCTCCTCCCCTGGCATCGTCTCTTTCATCTGGACATGATAGAAACACACCGAGCAACGAGAGGAATGAAGGTCATGCGAACTCATTTGCACCCATTGCTCCAAAGAGAATTATTATTATTATTTGTTCATATTCTAATAGGGCAGTCCCCAATGATTGTATTCAATCTCACCTGATATAGAAACAGACGATAGCTGATCCTGGAGGTCCTGTACTTCACTATTATCTGCCTCTTCCATATTGTGACGGTGAGCAAGCTTCAGACAACAACGACTGTGCCTCGGATTTGCTTTTGTTCGATGTTGTTATTCGCTTCACTCAGATTCAAACAAACACTCATTGTTCAGTTTTTTCTGCTTTGTATACATGTACGGGATCGCGCGGTACGTCCAGAGCGCGGGCGCGTGGGGAAGCGTGATCAAGGCAACTAAACAGCTACACTATACTGTACTAGTGGTAGTAGTGCACCGTAAAAGAGGCTCCTTTGTATTTCGCGAAAAAAAAACTGTATTGTACTCAATCTCAATCTACACAGTATACTGTATAAAAAATTCTACACACATTAAAATTTTGTAGGCCCAGCAGGCCAGATAGGCCTCCGCTCCGCGGAATATGCTCGTATTTTTACCGATAATTCCTTTGAGCATTGCTCAAAATTTCGACCGATTATTCCACCAATAATTCTCACAATAATGCTTTTTTCTTCCTTTTTTTGGAGATACCGTACCGCGTACGGGGTTTTTTTGCCACTTGTACGGGCAAAAAATCACGGTTCGCGTGAAACTCGGCTGGAAGCTTTTTTTCTTTCTTTTTTGAAATACCCGGCGATCAACTTCAGGATCACAAGCTTTTTGGTACAAATTAGGGTGTTATAAATGGAAAAAAATGAAAAAGGGGGGCATTGCTCAAATTTTACCGATTATTCCACAAAAATTGCCAATAATTCCCGTTTTAAAAATCACACTGATAATTCCCGAAATTATGCCGGCACATTCCGCGCCGCGGAGGCCTAGGCCCAGACAGATTCTGCTCCGCGCTCGCGGATCGCCTCGATATTTTGCCGCAAAATGTTGCTGCGAAATCTTCGATATTTTGCCGAGCCTAGGGGCGCGTTTGGTTGGTACGATCTAGAACAGGATTCACCAGAACAGCGCGTTTGGTTGGGACTGCACCTGTTCTGGGTCGGCCAGAACATGTTCTGCTTGCTCCGGCCTCAAGGCCGGAGCAGACCGAGCAGTTTCACTTTTTCACAGTGAAACCTGGCGGTAACATCGATTTTGGTCCCAAATGATCACGTGCATACGCTTATGGGCTGGACTCGTCGTACCGTACACAGTGACCATGGTGACCCATACACATTTTGAAGAATGCACCAAGTTTGGCATATTTTTCACAAAAAATGTGCTCTGTTTCTGGAGTACCGTTTGGTTGACATGAGGCTGCTCCATGTGCACCAGCTGTTCGATCCTGTTCTAGATCGTACCAACCAAACGCACCCTAGCTTGGCCTGGCCCAAGATTAAAAAGAAACTCGATATTTTGCCGGCTCCATTTTGCTCCGGAAAAACATGTATTTTATCCACTTCCCGTACGTTTCATAAAAATCGTGCAGGGTCGGTTTCTCAACGGGGGTTTCCACGCCCGTGTCCCTGAGTTCTTCCTAAAGTCATGTCGATCCATGATAGTGAATCCCAGCGATATTTCGGTGACATGATCTCGTCCTGGGCAGTGTACCGGTATCCTGCTGAACGGGTATTCCCGAAACAAGGAAATCCAAGTATCAGGCATCGATTTAGTCATTTTACCCAACCGATCTCGATATTTTGCTCCGATTTTGCCGGCAATTTCCGCTCTTTCAATCAGTCTTCGATATTTTGCCGAAAGAATTGCCGGCAGGATCTGTCTGGGCCTACTGTATAGTGTATACTCCGATCCGATCCCCCGAGCTACAATTGTACATGTAGCTATGCTAGCTAGCTGCTGGTACAGAAATATCTCGAACTGAAAAAAACCCCGCATGCAGATACATGTATTATCATTCTGTGAAACATGAGTTTGTCGGTGAAAACCAGGGAGTCGTAAAATACCGGTATTTTACGACTCCCTAGTGAAAATATAGCGCTTGACTGAATAGTGCCCCCCCCCCCCTCCCCCAGTTTGTAACCAAGCGGTGAGCGCATGTGCACGTTTGGTGTTCTACAATGCGAAGGACGCACAGTGCTCCTGACTACAACCATAACCCGGTTGGCAGAGTCCCGGTCTTGCAACCATTTGAACCATATGGGAAAACACCATCCCCTCGAATAAAAAGAGGGTCCGAACCGGGTTTTTTTTCCCTATACGGCACGGTTCAAATGGTCGCAAGACCGGGACTCTGCCAACCAGGTTATGGTTGTAGTCAGGAGCAATGTGCGTCCTCTCATTGTAACATGCTGTCGAAATCGAATACACAATTATACTAGTACATGTAGCTATACGTACTTACTAGTACATGTACTGTACTCCCTGGTGAAAGCCAAGGAACTACGATCTGCTTATAATGCAGTGCTCACAAGTCACATGGTAATGTACAGCTCAGTATTACATTGTATGCAGCTGTTTTCAGAGTCATTAGTGCTTGGGTCTGCCACCCGCCGAGCATCACGACTGATGCTTATCTGCTGTAGTGGACGAGAGAGATAGAGAGAGCGAGCGAGAGAGAGAGAGAGAGAGAGAGAGAGAGAGAGGGGGGGGGGGGGGGAGAGAGATACTGCAGCCATATGCGACTTTACAAACTGTAGCAGAAATCTCAGGTCAGATCATGACAGACGGAACCAGTCCAACGAGGCAGCTCATCATTCCGGGAAGCAAGAACAGTGGCTCGGTCATGGTGATATGGATATGGGAGATGAAAAATTGAAAATAGCCTAAAGAAGCCAGCCGGTGGGTAGAAAAGCAGGCAACACATCAAATGAGTAGCGACGGGTTGAGAATATCCATCAAATATCTTTTGTAAAGGGCAGAAGGTATACGCTTCACCGTATAAAGGGGCTTTGTCACAGCAATCTACCATCAGTACTTCATAGTCGTAGCCACTCCGTCGCTAAGCTTGGCTAGGGATAGCTTCATGTGTAGAATGGCATACAAGTAGATATAATATTAGAATTGTGCATCTGTGTTCAGGATGTTGAACCAGCAACAAGGCTACGTTCGCTTTCAAATATGGACAATATGGACATTTAGGGAGTCGAACGCACACACCGAAATGGTTATCATTTGTTCCATTAGCAGGGTCAAAATTCAGTCAAAATAAAAAAGCTAATTCGTCAACGCTGGAGGAGACATGAAACGTACATGCACTCATGCCGGGATGGTTATAGACAAAGCTGAAGGTTGATGCAGCGTGAATGATTTTAGACCGTTCGCAACTAGACACAAACAGTAAGGCAGCACGTGCTGCACATGCTACCAGAGATCTGGACGCCAGCGAGACACATGGCTCAAACTACGAAAGGAGAAAGACAATGTACATGTTCAAACAGTGACTACAAGGAGTTCTGTCAGTACCCGTCTCAAGTAGAAGCAGCAGCAAATATATGTGCTATTGACCTGCTGGCATGGCGTCAACCGTGCTATCATTACGGCACATCATCAGCTTGGTGATAACTCTGCTAGCTAGTCACCAAAGGCTTTCAAAAGCCCTCATCCCAGCCGGTCCGATCCTCTTCGGGCAGCTCTGTGTTGGGCTCGAATGGGTCGAAGTTGGACAAGTCCGTGGGGGTCTTGACTCGCGGGACGATTGGAGGTCTCACCGTCTGCAGCGGTAGGCCAGCCCAGTCGAAGCCAGTGAACCAGCGATGGCACTTGATGCCTTTGATTCCCTCCTTCTGGTTGCCAAGACGATCGGCGGGGTTGTCACGGCAGAGCTTTCGAATAAGATTGTGCGGGTGCTTGGGGAAGGTGCGCGGGAAGATGATACTGTCCAATCCCTTCAAGATGTTGTTGTAGGTCTTCATGGGATCGTCACCGGTGAACGGAGGTGTGCCGGTCAGCAACTCGAAGATCAGGATTCCAAGAGACCAGAAGTCGGCCGAGAAATCGTGGCCTTTGTTGAGAATGATCTCCGGGGGCACGTACTCTGGAGTGCCGCAGAACGTCCATGTCTTACGTCCAAAGCCGATGCGCTTGGCGAACCCAAAGTCGACAAGTTTGACGTATCCGCGGGCATCCAGTAATAGGTTTTCTGGCTTGAGATCGCGGTAGATAATGCCTTGCGAGTGCAGGTACTCGAATGCCTCGATGACGCACGCGATGTAGAAGCGGGCAGTGGGGTCGTCAAAGTGACTCTTGTTGCGCAGCACTGTCCACAGCTCACCACCCAGGCAAGCCTCCACCAGCAGATAGAGGAATCTAGAGTCGCGGAACGTACGGTACAGGCGGGCGATGTACGGACAGCGGACCTCCATCATGATTCGCTTCTCGTTGAAGATGTGTTCCTGCTGCCTGGTTTCGACGATGTGTTTCTTCTTGAGACACTTGAGGGCGAAAGCTTGCTTCTTGTCGCTTTTCAGGCAGACCAGCTCGACACGTCCAAAGCCACCAACACCCAAAGTGCCGACAATCTTTAGATCATCGAGCTTCATATCGGGAAACTCGCCGACGATGGGGGTGCTGTCCTTTTTCTTCTCCGGATCATAGGCCGTCCGCTGGCCAGCATAGTGGTTCAGGTCACCGATCAGTGTTTGGAAAGACGAACGCTCCAGCACCAGGCATGTGACGTGGCTCTTGGCTCTGACGTTGGCCGTGCGCCGCGAGTCGCCTTGCAGCGCCAGCTCTCCGAACGTCTGGCCTGCCTCTAGCGTGCGGATTAGGGTCTCGCCGACCTTGCCCTCCTGCGTCTCCGTGACGTCGACGGTGCCAGAGCGAATGATGAAGAACGTGTCGCCGACGCCGCCTTGCCGTATGATGTAGTCGCCGGTGTTGTACTCGTCCTGTTCCAGGCAGTCGGCCACTTTGGCCAGTTTGTCCTCGGGCAGGCCGCGCAGCGTGCTGTGTTTGCGCAGGAACTGCTTGTAGCTATCCAGTCGCTTCTGGCCAGTGGACATCATGATGCTCTTGAACGTTTGCCGGTCCAGACTCCATACTTCGGTTTCGCCGAGCGTCACCACCGTGGCTGTGCGTGTGCAGTTGTAGAGAATGGCCAGCTCACCGAACACACTGCCCGGCTCCAGAGTGCGTAGCACCTTGTTCTTCTGCTTCACCTCCACGTTGCCTACGGCTGTTACGTATAGCTCCGTTCCTGGCCAGCCTTCTCGTACGACGAATTGGTCGGCGGCGAATTTTGTCTTCTTCATGCAGTCCACCATCTCATCAATTTGCGCAGGGTCTAGATTCTTGAGGAAATCATTCTTCAGTATTGCTTCCCTAATCAATTTCTTGGCTTGATCAGTTTTCGGATATTTGGTCCGTGGCTTGTCTTCAATAGCTGCGCTGGGTTCACCACTGACGGCTGGGAGCTTTTCACGGCGGAGCAGAATGCTAGGCGTTTCGCGTGTCATTTGCGACTTGCTCATGGATTCCAAGAGCGAGCGTATTTCGTTGTTCTCCTTGCGTAGCCGGTCTATGACGAAATCTTTCTGCACCAGTTGCTGGCGCAGAATATCTATCTCCTGTCGCAGGGTGTCCACCTCAGCGGAGTGTGCGCCGTTCACCTGCGGAGCAGAGTCAGAGTTTTTAGCGTCCGCCATCTCGACGGATCGCCTTTGATCTACAAACTACTCCAAAGCAGCCACAGTAACAGAACAGTATCTGCGACAACTGTGTTTGTACAGATTGACTGTTGCTCTCTCGGTCTTTTGAGCAACGGTAGCGACCAAGAGCGTATCAGCGCAGCTGTTCTCCAATCTGCAGATCTAGGCGTTGGTGTCGCTGATTGACTCCGAGCGAATGTGTGCACGCCTATGACACACACGGAAGACACTTCAACTGCTTCCACAAGGCCGAAGTACCGGGGTTCGGGAGGATTTCGGAACCTAGTCCGGTTTCTCGTACCTGCTGTAGGCTGGTTGTTTCCTTCAAGCCCCGAGAGCAAACTGCACTTACGCAGCTTTGGAAAGGTCCTTGGCTCTTTCTCTGCAATCTTTCATATCAACTGTGAAACAGCAGTGCCAAACTGTTCCCATCCTCACTCCAGTAGAGCCTGGAAAAAGGTTGAAGGAAGTTTGCTCGATGCAGGGGTTGCACCTACTACCTATCACGTAGCGCTGCTGACTTCTGAGTATGAGTCACAGGCCATACGGCTTGGTCGAGCGGGAAAGGGCTAGGCCTAGGCCAGGGAGAGATGCTCTGGTGAGAGCGATACCCGTCGACAAGCTGTTGCCATTGGGACAGCTAGCACGGAGATCGCAGTTCACGGTAGGTACAACTAGCGAATCGAGAACGGTGGCGGTCGCGGTCACACGAATGCAGTACAGACTCGCACGTACCACTCGCACGCGTGCACGCAGTGCCAAACTGATTGAAAAATACCGGTAGCTAGCTGGGGTCTGCATGCGTCCATTTGACTCCTACTTGTCCCAAGCCAAGGCCTAGCTAGACTACAACTACAGTACAAGTACAACATGTAGACTAGACACGCCATGCAGATGCTGAACGTGAATTAAAAGCACGTATCGCTGGCTTGGTTGTGCCCCTGTCAACGATCTATGTCACTGCACTGTCAGTGTCACTGACTTGCTGTTCGTCGGCCTTCCATACTACAGACTAGTAGTAGTAGACCCAGGTGCTCGAAGTCCGTACATGGTATCCTAAGTTCGTACGCCCATAATTTCATGTTCTGTTATTGTATTCGACTCAAATATTTTATGGAGGGGACAGTGTGGTATGTTCTCCTCGCGTAGCAATTTTCAGGGATCTACGATAAGCAGAAGTCCCATACCACGCGAGTGGGTTTTCGAGTGTCCATACGAAATACAAATTGGGTTACATTTCATGCAAAAATCAACTTTGCGAACGGACACAGCGTCAAACAGACCTTCACTCAATCATCAAGAGCCAGCTTAGAGCTGACAATGGCCAGAGGAGAAGAATTTACAGAGAACCACCAATCCTTGCAGAAAGGTTGACACTCCTGGCATCTCCACCACTGTTTTCCCGCGGTTTTCACAGCGCAGCTGCTTCTTCTCTGAGCCGACTAAAAACAGCTTGCATTTCGGCAACAAACTACGCTTTTGCAAGAAATACTGGTGGAGGCACATGTCAAACATATCCCTTCGGTGCTTTCGTCGTAACCGAGGGATTGCAAGTTAGCAATTAGCAGAAATGTGTGTGTATTTCGAGTCACCTCTGATCAGTACGGACTTAGAGTACCCTCTGGGACACCAACATTTGATATGAAAAATCAGCGAACTCCAGAGAAACAGATCGGATCGAAAGATGGCCTGGTTCAATCGAGCCTGGCCTCAGAACAAACTTGGACAAGATACCTTCCATCCACGAGCAGGATTCTGGCAAGTGATCATTGCTAGTGTGAGTTTCAGCTCGGCAAACACACACTGTAAAAGTGTACGGACTTCGAGCACCTGGGTCTACTGTAGACCCGGGCAACTGCGGAGTGCTGTCGACATGTCCCCGGCACGGAAAGCAGAGTGCAGACAAACTCCGGACAGTATTATAATAATTATTATCGTACTAGTGTGGCTGGGAGACTGGAGTGTAGTCTGTAGACCATGGTGGATAGGCTAGGCGGAACCAGCATTGCCCGCTAGCTGTCATCGCCGTGCAGATCAGTGTGAGCTCACTGAGCTGGCAAGCCTGGCATCGTTAGCTGTCGGTGTCACGATGACATTTTTGCCAGTGCATGTCCACAGTCTAGTCCAGTGCTAGGACGACTTCTTGTGTAATCAGGTGCATGACTGTGTAGTGTTCTTAGTTGGTAGTCAACAGGCCTGTTGGTTGTCAACAACTTGTCACTGCTACCCTATGCCAGCCCTTGAGCTAGCTAGTATGGCGTGGTGGTCGATAGTTATTCCCTTTCTTGACTTTTCCAGGAGCGGTATGCCACGTTCGTCTGGGAAATCTTGCCTCAAGCGGGTGACTAGAGGCCGTGGAGGCCCTGGTGTTCCCGGATTCTCTGATGCTGACGCAAAGGAACTGCATAGCTCTGTGAATGTTTGCGCTCCGTGTTTTGAAAACATCGCAGCACGGGGTTATTGTGCTTCTCTTCGGACCATTGTACCTGGCGAATGGCCTGTGCATGTGGTCGACACATGTTTGAGCTGTTTGCCTACGAAGTACGAGCTTTGAAAACCAACGAGCGTATCCTAGGAGGATACTTGACACGAACGAAGAATTTGACAATCCAGTCAGTATACTAGCATCTGTGGATGGATGGATTCTTTTAGTTTCACCGAGGCAATGCTATTTCGCTAAAAGTAACCACCACCACCACGTTCTGCATCAGTATCATCGCTGAAGAAAGCTTAGGTGGTGAACTAACTAATTCTCATTGGCGGCCATGTGAATGACAGGTCGTTTGTTACAGGGATGATTACACCGTCCGGACGGTGACGATCCTCCAGGACGCTTGTCAACCGTCTCAAATTCACTTTCTTCAGAAAAACCTAGTTACGCCCAGATATGCGCGGTGCAGTTGCTGTTGAAAACTGCTCGTGACTATCGATAAACACAGGTTGCGGCGACCTGTAGCGTTCTTGGAAATAGTTTTGGCTGTCGGTACTACTAGTATGGTTTGTAAAAGTCTCCAATGAAACATTCTCTTGAAGTCATGTTTGCAGATCTAGAGAAGCGCGGGTCGGTGTGAAGCAGGGAGCAGCAGTAGACCTGATAGTGATACGAAATAATTATTGGCTACGGGTACATGTACATGTACATGTATGTACACTGTCTAAACTCTAAAGAGAGAAACGCTGAGTGCTTTTTTATTGATTTTCAAATAGCGTGTTTGGGAACTAGACGAGTGTGACTGTTATGTAATTGTTACATTGTATTTTCTCGGCAGCAGCATAAATTATGTAGTCATTCCACTACCTGTACTTCCACCTACACAACTATACTACAGCCTACGGGCCATAGTAGTATTCACGAATAGTAGTAGAGAGCCACGTCTCACAGAAATAACTTCAAGCAAGGCTACAGCTGAAAACCGTCATTCCAAGGGTGTACGCGTGTCACCAGCCACAATACAAACTCAAAGTTTAGCTGTGAGTGTAGATGCCAGATGCTGACCACATGGACTTTTTCCCGCAACCTGACTCTGCTCGCGGAATCGTGATCTGTGATCAGCAGCAAAAAGTACATTATCGCGGTGAGACGTGGCATTCAGGAGGAAGTGAGGATGGCAAAGTCTAAATCATAGTAAAATGGGCTGCTTGGTGGAAACACTGAGTATTCTGATTTGGCAGCATTCACAATGATTCAGGAATCGGGTGTCATTGATTGCTTGGCCCTTGATGACGCCTCTGATGGTCTCTGCACCCGCGCGTACCCGTTCTTTTACACTTCCAGCCTCTACGGCTCCAGTTTGCCGTCCTGGGATATCCACCCAGCTAGCTAACGGTTAGTGTTACTTGTATGGCTGTGGCGTTGATATCCATGACCACACATGGTGTCGAATTATAGACTTCAAATCCGCTGCCAATTTTAGGAAATGCAAAAAATTCTACAGCATTGGGTATGTACATGTACATTATTTTAGTCACCCCTTGCACCTAAGCCGGTCAGGGATTGAGGAGGACACACAAGAAGCCCATCGACGGGGAAGTGAATTCAGTTCACTACAGTACGTGAGTTACCTAGCGATGGACAACATGACTGTGCACAACACTCCCCGTCGATGGGAATAGTTACTGCTGTTTTCATCACCATCTGTCATGCAGATTGCAGCAGTACGGGAAAGCCTGAAGCCAAGGTTTGTGAAGCATGGTGAAGTGGTGATGGTTTGAGAGGCACAGTAAAGTGATGATGGTTTCAATTGCATGGCTGGTTTGCCTGGAACGTGCCACACGCCGCAACCTGGGTCTGCCTCTCTCCGTCAACTAGTCGGAAACACTTTTGCTTCAGATTGAGGCTCTGTTGATGGGTTTCATTTTATTTGGGTCAGGTCTACATGGTTCTTGTTTTTGTATTGGCCACGGAATGTCATAGCCACGCCGGGTGTTATCAGCGAGGCCTTGCTAACTACATCAGTACATCTACTGCTTACTTCACTTTGATGTGTATTATAATATATACAGCTCCTGTTTTCCCGTCAATGCATGTAATGCTCTTTTCGCATCATTGACACCCATCCAGGTCTCACATGAGTGGCCCATGCCAAGCCACAGCCTGAAATCGTTACAGCTAATGTCCTCAGCTTCGTGCATGTTGCCTGTGGATACTGAACAAGACATAGTCATTGGTGCACGATTGATAATATTATAATAGTCATGCTAATTACAGAGAGAGAGGACTGGAAGCTGTGTTGAGACTCCGCGAGTTTCACGTTTTATTATTATTCTTTATTTCCACGATGGCCCATGGCCAATAAGGAAGATAATAATTATGATTCAAATCAGTCCAGAATCATATAAAATCAGTCTAGCAAGTAAGGAAACCAACACATTGCAGGGGGATGGGGTCACGATGGGGTACAGTGTGAGCTACTACAGGAGCATATGGATGATAGAATGAGGCTAGACGTTGTCATGATCATCAGGCAACTGATGGCTCCACAACACTATTATTAGGCAGCCTGAACATAAGAAGGACTATAGGAGTATGAGGCGAGAAGTAAGGGGCTAGGGGAAACCAAAAGCACAAACGGCAATTGTGCAGTCGAGAAGGCGAGAAGTATACGCTAATAACTACAGTAGTACACAGTGAGAGTCCCAGGAAGGATTACAGGCTACACAGTGAGAGTCCCAGGAAGGATAACAGGCTACAGCGAAGTATACAGTACTACAGTACTAACATCTAACGTTACTATTAGCAGTCCATGGAGGCTGGTTTTACTTCATATTCATTGTGCCATGTCCGTTGTCGGAATGATAATGATGAACCTGTGCTTTCATGCACCGTCAAGAGGTGAAATCAACGGACGACGGGCACAGAGAGCCACAAATCTTTCTTCCCGAGATGTAGCAGTAACAGTGGTCGATCAGATCTGCGTTCCAGTATCAGTTCCTTTAGTGGATTTCCCAGACTCAAACCCTTCATTCAATTCATGATCAGTAGTTACTATTACCTAGCCGCTGTCTAGCCGTGCATAGTGTACTGTCGGTACAGTAGTAGCACCAGTAACAGTCGCTGGCGCGTATCTAGAGATTCAACTCTTGATGGCGCCACTGTCTCTGATCTGTAATCTACAGTACAGGACTGGTGTAACGAAAATGCAATCATGCACGTCCCGGTGCA